TATTTAAACTATTACACACAAATTCCCTAAAATTTATATGAGTGTAATACTTAAATCCCTACTGTCAATGTCTGTTAGTAAATTACATTCAAAATCCTTAAAATTTGTAGACATGTAATATTTAGATCTCTCAAATTTAAAATATTATATTTAGACAAAAAATATTTCAATTAAATATAGAATATCAAATATTTTAATTTTTATAACTAAAATTCACGTTCTATCATGTCATTTGTTGAAATAAAATTAAAAATAAATTTTTTATTTTTATTTAAAAATCATAATTAGTATATACAATTATACTATCTATTGAAATAAACTAAAAACCAAATAAAGGGTCAAATGAACATGAATACAATATTTTTTATCTTTAATTATAATAATGTAGTCGATTTTGTTAGTTCTGTAACTAATAAATGGTCTAAGTATAATATTTTAAATTTAAAAAATCAAAGTGATGTATTTACAAATTTTAAAGGATTTATGTATAATTTATTAATAGATATACGGACAAACCTCAAATGGTCTTTAGGTAATATTTCAAATATTAAGAATTTAAATAATTAAATAACAAATTTTAGAAGGCTTAAATATAATTCTCCCAAACTAAAAACGACTTCCCCTAACTTCAAACCCTAACTCTGTCTTCTCTTGTTCTTCGTTGCCACTTGTGACGTTGCGCCTCCGGCCTCCATGGCTGAAGCCTGAAGCCAACTGAGCCTCCAGCCTCTTCTGCGTCTTCACTCTGTCTCTCTCACTGGCGTGAATCAGCTCGACGGACGAAGACGAACAGTTGGAGCTCTCTGCCTGTCTCTCTGGGGTGAATCAGGTTGGCTTTCTATCTCCCTCACTTCGATTCCAACCTTCTTCTCTTCTTATGTGTATATAACTGTGTATTTCTACCCTCATTTAACTGTGTATATAACTCAAATCTTTTGATTTCACTGACACATTTTGATTCCACAGACTCAAAACTCTAACTCAAGGGCTTCTTCTCTTCTGTTTTTTTTCGTTTTTCTTATTTTATTTTTTAGACTGATAAGCAACCTAAAGCTTTGTTTCTTCATTAACCAAAATCAACGCCGTACAGATGATTTCAAGACCTTCAGTGTATATAACGTCTTATGCCTTATGCAGATGGATTCTTCCGCACACAATATTGTAATTTCTGACAAACTAGACGAGGACGCTCATGAATCTAATGCAGATGCAACAGCAGGTACATCAACTGGTACAACTACCGAAAAAGGTAAATCTAACGCAAGCGATAAAAGACTTTCAATAGTTTGGAAATACTTTAAGTAGCTAAATGAAAAATCTTTGTAATAACAATGGTTTATCCATTATCTACGATACCATACAGTAGAGGAGCACATATTCTCCAGCAGCTCTGAGCCTCACGAAAAAAACATGAATGATATGATACCCGACCAATGCTATATAGACTTAAAATGTTGACTTGATCGATCACTGTTGGTGTGATTTAATAATGGGTCTTAATATTTATTGGAATTCACTATCTATTGATAGTTGTGATCGATCAAATCAATATTTTAAGTCAAAGTAGTATTTTCCATAATACCCCAAGGATTGTAAGTTTGTGTTTCAATTACTTTGATATACTTGGTTTAGGGTTATTGTATTCATCTAAAATTAATGTTCATTGTGCTTATAGTTTATAATTTTTGTATGAGTCATTAATTTAACATGAATTATTGGATTTGAGTATAATTTTTAACTATTTTGAATTATGAGCGATTTGATTGGTCATAAATAAATGAATCGATACAAAATCCAAATATATATGACACAAATCACTACAAAAAAAAGTTATATCTAAAAAATGACGAAAAACACCGGCGTTTACTAAATGTCAGAACATACCAGAATAAATGCCGAAAACATATAGTGTCGTCATTTTAATATATATTCTTGTGTAAGCGTGTTCACAATAATACCATTATCTTTACTAGTAATGATGAAACTAAGGACGACGACGATGATCACCGGCCCATTCAATGATTTACAAAATCCCTTATACAGTAACATTATAGACTTGTCTGCACCGCATTTTTCCAAGAACATAAAGGTTGCCCCATAGGCTTAATTACTTTTTGGATATATTTACAAATATATAGTATTTGAAAGGGTCAAAGTTTTGAAGATAATCACTGAAAAACAATGTCACTGTCTTGAAAGTCCGATGCTTGAAGCTTAGGTTCAGCTTTCAAGGATAATCATTAGAAATTTTAATCTATATGCTTGTTGACTTGATCATATCTGAGCTTGATGATACTGACTTAGCTTGATTTTCTAAGTTTGATTTTGGGTTTTCTAATTTATAAGCCTTTTTTTTTTATTGTATTCTACTAGTTGACCAACTATGAGAGTGGAAATTTTCTTATACACCCTTTTCACCCCAAGAACCCAGAGACAAAAGAAGCTAGAAAGAGTCTTACTAATTAATATGTGCCAGTGCACTAAATTTCATGCGATCAGCATGAATATCAATGGATTCATGTTGTATTGTATTGTATCGTGTTCAGATTCATGTCGAATATTATCACTTTTAGTTATTGGTTTTCAACCATATAGACATTATCATTTTAGTGCCTTTCGGTTTGTAGCGAGACATGCCTCTTGCTTGAGACACAACACTTGGTAGATGGAAATGCAATGTTCCTAGCAGCTTGAATGTAAGTTTGTCCCATCTGTAAACTCAGACGTCATGAGTTTAAATCTTGTCTTGCACAATAAGAAATTTTGCCAAAAATGGCGTTTTTCAAACGTCGGGACAGGCCAAGAAAATGCCAACTAATCCCTTTTCTGGCGATTGATTGGCGTTTGGAATAAACGACGACTATACCAGCGTCAGGAAAGCTCCTACTATCTACTGGTGTGGTGCCTCTTCCTGATTAGGTTGCACCTCCTCCCATTTTTGGCTCCTGCGCTCTATGTACCTTCCAAGGTGCCCTTTTTAAATAAGGTCCTTAATCTAGTCCTTGAGCACCTTGTATTCATTAGTGTTGTGGCTATGATCTTGATGAAACTTGTAATATTTATTTCTTGATCGTTTGTTGGGATGGGTTCGCATCTTGCCCAGCCACTTTAGGACCCTCTCATATTGGATTTGTTATAGGATTTGCTCTACAGTGGTATTCAAAGTTGTATGTCTCCATGCTGGGTCCCAAGCAGTCCCTTGCATTCACTTGTTCGGAGCGACTCTTCTTTGGGTTGTTCCCTCGCTTTCCTCGGTTCGCATGATCGCGTTTCTTTTTTTCTTCTTGTTTGTCTTCCCTCTTGTCCTCCTAGCTTCTTTGTGCAAGAAGGGTATACTTGGCATTCATGTAGCTCTAAGCTTTTAACAAGAGTTTCGTCATGGACAAAGGTGGGTCTTTTGAGAGGGAGAAGGGGAACTGGAACAAGTTGAGGCCTCCAATAAAGGTAGTCAAAGCCACCCTGTCATTCACATTATCAATTTGGAGAGAATTTGTGGTGAAACGATTGATATAGGCTCTGAGTGACTCGCCTTTAGTCTACTTGACGTTAAGGAGATAGGTATTTGGTCTTCGGTGGGCCTGGCCTCTGATGAAATGTGAGATAAAGGAAGTGCTAAGCTCCCCAAACGTGTAGATTGAGTTGACATTTAGTTTTGTTAAACCAATGTCGTGCAGTTCCCATCAGGTTTGTTGCAAAAGCCCGACACATAAACTGGTCCGAGATGTTATGGAGCATCATTAGAGTACTATAGGTCTCTAAATGGTCTAGAAGATCCTATCTCCCATCGAAGCTCTTCATCGTTGGCATTTTGAATCTTTCAGGAAGCGGATAATTAGATACGTCCTGGGTGAAGGGTGACTCTCAATGCTTTATTAGAGCCTCAATAGCCTCGGGTTCCCAAGCTCTCACCATATTTAGAACGTTTCCAAATTTCTCATTGACCTCCTAGAACTTTCGTTCCCATTGGTCGTTGACCTACGAGCGTGCGACCTTGCTCTGATGGTGCTCTTCATTGTGGTTGTCTTCTTCATACTCTTTGGCTTAGGATTGATCTCCATCCAAGAGTTGAAGGATTTGCTGGTTTTGGCATTTTAACTCTTCCACCATTTTTTTCAACTTTCCGACTATCGTCGATTTGTTTTCAAATGGTGTCTTTGTTTTTTGTTTCATCGAATGAGAGCTCATTCCCTCATGGCTATAAGATTTTAGGTTTATAATATTAGAAACATAATTGTCGTTCCCACGGACGACGCCAACTGTTGCTCCCAAAAAGTTGTTCCCTATTGATGAGGGAGGGAATTATGATCCGGCCACCTAGAACAATGATCTAGTTTTCGGCAATTGATGCTCCTACAAAACAAGTCGAGGGCTAGAAGGGCTTCGCATTGTTGACCCTTCGATGATAAAGTCAAAAGGAGAAGTGGGAAGAAGCTGTATTTGATCGAAAGTGTTTTACTTACCTGGGTGATACATGACTTGCTCTTTTTATAGGTTAAGCGATTGTACCATTGAAAGATCTTTAACAATTATTTGAATGAAGCGGCGTTGGAAGTGGAACTGAAGTTGGATTTTGGTTAGGGTGGATATCTCAACTGTTTTGAATTAGTCAATACGAGTCGAGCTGTCGGGCCAGAGTGCTGGCGAGCAGGAGGTCCCAGTCGAAGGTCACCATACTAAGTTGCAAAGCTCATGAGATAAGTTTGTGCCCATGTGTCCAACTAATACCAATTTTGCGACCTAACTAAAGTATAGAATAGAGATGTCTAACGGTGGTGGAATTGTGAGAGAGAGAGAGAAAGAGACAGACAGACAGAGAGAGAGAGAAGGGGGAGGGGGGATGATCGAAGAGGGTGGGGTTGGCTAAAGGACTTCTGGGAGGGATGGAGATCTTGAGATGTAGGTGCTAGGTTGGGAAGGGGAAGTGAGGGTGGGGATTTGGGGCTGTGAAGTGGGAGGAAGGGGGAGGGGATGGTGGAGATCCGAGGGGTGTGGGCTACAACATGGGTAAGGAAGGAGGGATAGCTGCGTTGGGAGGGAAGTGGTGGTGATTGATTGTGACGATAGGGGTAAAGGGCAGAGGCATTTGTTGGGATGGGAGGAGGGGGGAGAGATGGGAAGAGAAGGAGGCTGCGGGTTGGGGGATGGGGGTTTCATGTTTATTTATTGGATATAGGGTGGGTGGGTTTGGGTATTGATGCGAATTGTTATTTATTTACTTATCAAGCAAACTGATGGTAAAATCATCTTTTTATTTGAAGCGTTAACACCACCCAACAATTGGGTCTTGGTGTTTTTTTTTTTTATATTAAAAGGATGTCTGTATAATTAAGTCTAATGTCATGGGGTTTGTGCGGAATTTATGCAAAAAGAAAGAAGAGAACACTTATTTTTGGGTAAATGTAACCTGTAGTTCTTAGTCATTGGATACTTTATTTGGGTGTAAATGACACGGTAATACTTTTATTAGTTGGTGTGCGGTTATTGGCTGTATCGCAGCTTGGCCAGTGTGTCATGCTTGTCTGCCTAGAGTTGAGTCCTTCTAGTTACCTTTACCTCTAACGTGGCTTTGGCATTTTACTACTTGTTGACGTATGATTGTCCTGAACTGTTATGCTAATAGACCCTAGCATGTAAAGTTTTCATATTTTACCTTGTGGAAAAGTTGATGCAGCTGAGGCGCTTCATATCCTGGCCTGCGTTTGCCTAGAGAAATTGATATGCGAACACACTGAGTTTGATTTTGTTTTTCTTCTTTGACAACTATTTAGACTGTTTCATGTGCTGTAGGGAAAAAGGATGGGTTGGCAGTTGAGCCCGTTGATGAAGACTCTAATATTCCAATATCACAGGCACATCCTGAAGAAATGGGTAAGAAAACTGAAGGCTCTTCAGTCCTCACAACTGCTGTTGGCCTTAAATTTTTACTTTCTTTATTTTTATTTACCCCTATGTTAACTTCCTTCTTATGATTAAATGCTCAAATAATTCCAGTTCTTTCAATTTTCTAAAATGGCCTGAGGGGCTCGTTTTTTTGTTTCTTTATATCAGAAAGGAAAGCTCGGGTTGATGCTGTGTGGCAGCAGATGAATAAAGGAATATCTATGAAGACACTTAAAAATATTTTAGACAAGCCTAGTTTAGCTGTAAATAGAACATCATCAAAAACTTCTTTGAAGATGTCTTCAGCTGTGAGGATTCTATTGTGATTCTAGTTTACCAAATCATTTAGTTTGCACCATTAAGGTGAGCTGGGGTTGTGTTACTTACTCATCTTTAATGATTTCAGAGTTGGATGAGTATTATGGGCCTGGCACCGAAAAAGACAGCATACTCTGGGCAGGACATGCTACAGAAGCAACCCTGTATTGGACGGAATGGTACCAGTGATGAGGCAAAGAAGCTTGCTGCTGCTGCCCTCTCAGCAGTTAAGGATGCTGCAGCATGTGTTGCCACTTCAGGCAGGGGGAAAGTTGAGGTAAAGTCACTGTTTCACATATGATTGCTTTTGCAACATGCTGTTTTGGATAGGTTAATAGTTTTATCATACCAAAGAAAGATGATATACGGTGAAGTTCAATACACGCCAAGCAGGGCAAATGGAGTTTGCTTCGCCGCTCACCTAATCTATATTAAAATTTCTCCAACAGGTCGGATATAGTAGGTAAAACGGCTCCATAAAACACATAATGACCAAAGCATAACCTAAACTCAACAACGACCCTAATGATGGACTGGTCGAGGACCCAAGTGGTTCGTTGCACTTACTTGCTCAAAATGATTCTTTTTCAGACTGCTTGCCCTTTCTCCTATGCCTTATTAGTCCCACCTCTTTTTCTCCTCATGCTTATCCTTTTGGCCCCTCTGTGCGAGGAGGGTTTTCAGCGTTCATGCAGTTTGGGGCCCTTGATAAGAGCTCAATCATAGATTGGGGTAGATCTTTAGAGTGAGAGAAAAAGAATTGGGATGGCTGAAGTGCTCCCATAAAGGCAATAAGGGCTAGTTTGTCATCCACATTGTCGATTTGGAGCGACCCTATTGTGAACTGCTTACAAAGCCTCTAAGTGTCTCATTTTTGGTTTGCTTGATATTTAGGAGATAGATGGGGGTCCTCCGATGTGCTTGGCCTTCAATGAAATGTGAAATGAAAGATTTACTGAGTTCTCCAAATGTCCTGATAGAGTTGGATTTCAGCTTATTGAACCAGTGTGTTGCAGTCCCTTTGAGAGTTGTTGCAAAAGTTCTGCACATGATCTGGTCCAAAACATTGTGAAGCATCATCAATGACCTGAAAGTTAAGTTTCTAGATGGTTGAGTGGATTCTTCATTCCATCAAAACTCTCGATTACGTGCATCTTAAACCTCTTGGAAAGTGGATAGTCTGACACATCTTAGGTAAAGGGGGACTCCGTGTGTTACACTAGAGTCTCCATAGCTTCTAGGACCTGAGCTTTCATAGTTTTTAAAACATTACCCAGTTTCTTATTTATCTATTGGAACTTCCATTCCCATTGGTCATTGACATGTGGTCGGACAACCTCATTCTGATGATTGTCATATCCATGCTCCCGGGTCTGAGACGGGTCTCTTTCCAAGAGTTGGAGAATTTGCTGGTTTTGACATTTTAGCTCCTCCACCATTTTTTCTAGCATTCTGACTTTGATAGACTCCTTTTCTGGGTTCACTACGGTCCTTCAGCCCACCAGTTGAGAGTTTGGATGCTCATTAGTTTGAGTTTGGTCCCTAGGTGGCTCTTTCAATCGGGTGATAGTCATGAGATCTTGAGGAAGTTTTAGATTGGAAACTTGATGTTTCCCACAGACGGCACCAATTGTTGATCTCAAAAACTTTCCATCGGGATGGTTGATCGGAGTTATGCCTTTGCCCCAAATGGGGGAGTTCCTACAAGACAAGTCGAGCTTTGGTGGTTGATCCTCCGATCATAAAGTTAGAAAGGAATGATTGAGAGTGACTGTATTTAGCTAAAGAGTAGTCAACTTATTTCAATGATGCCCAGCTTGGCCTTTTTATAGGCTAGAAGATAAGATTGTTGGAAGATCCTCAGGTTTTATTTGAATTGGATGGCACCAAAAGTGGAACAGATGATGGTGCCCTCTAGTGTGGATATCTCAACTAGTTTAAATTAGTCAAAGCGTGTGGAGCTGCGGAGCGGGGACGTTGACAAGCAAGGAGATTTGAGTTGGGCCTTCCTGAATTATGGAGGTTCTCTTCCGAGAAGCGGAGCTCCTCTACCACCGAGCTGATGCCTAATTTACCATTATCAAAATGATCTTTGTGATAATTTTCTTGATCATTGTAACAATTAGAGGAAGTCAAATGAGTGAGCGTTGTGGATTTATCAAAGCATGACCCTTATGCTAAGAAGTATTATGAAGTGACCAAAATATAAAAATAAAAAGTGACCAAGTTTGATTTGACAACTAGGAAGGAGTTCAAAATATGTGCTACTACACAGCCTCTAACAACATATTTTGTAGAATCCTTGATTCCATAAGCAAAGGTAGCCGAAAACTTTATTGCAATCTGTGCATTGGTAGAAAAAAATAAAGGTAGATTTGTAACTTTATATAATTAAGGATTTAGGTTCATTTTGGGAACATTTAGGATTATGGGCTTCCCTATCAATTGTTCCTATGTACTTCGAGTTTTAATAAATTAATTCTATTGATAATATATCAAAGTTTCTCTTCTTTTTTTCTTTAGATTTAGGTTGTGTGCATAGTTGTTAAATCGCATATCGAAAGGTGTATTGTTTTTAAAAAATAGTGTACTATAGCAGATATCGTAAGATACGCGTAATTTTAATTTTTAAATAATTATTATATATATATATATATATACCTTTGTAAAAAAGTCAAACTCATAATAACATAGTATTTCATTAATATTCCACCAACTATTCAAGTTTTCAACATAATGAAGTAATATTAAAATGCAAAGGCTTTTAATTCAAACTTCTAAAATCAACTTCTTGAACAACCTTCATATTAATCAGGAATTTTGAATTCAATTGAACAACATTAACATCAGATTTTATTTTATTTTTTAAACCATAACCACTGAAACTACGTTGTTTCACTTGCTAGTGATTTTAAAATAAGTTCTAGGGTAAAACAATATCATTTCAACCCAAAAAACAAAAAATCGTCACGTATCAGACGTATCATGTATCGTATGATACGGTGCAAAAACAATATAGAGATACGATATGTATCGTTTTTCTGATGTATCGTACGATATGTATTGCGTACCATATGTGATACTAATAACTATGATTGTGTGTGTTCGATACATAAAGATATGTTGATTTTTTTTGCGTACCCGTTACCATTGCGTCACCAACAGAATCAACTAAGTGTTAGGGTGGACACAGTAAAATTAGTTTTATACAAAATTTAAGAAAAAATCATTGTGGGTCAGGGACTTGACCCCATCCCATGCCCAATGTGACTCCACCCATGACCACTTATCAGAAACCAAAAGAAGATTTATGATTTAACCGGCAGCAGCTCATCAGAAGCAAACCCAGAGCAGCCCCCCTCCCCCAAAAAACTACCAGTTCCAGCGCTTACATGGTGACATCCAGTTTTCAAGATCAAGCTACTGTTGCTCCATGCTGCCTGCTCTGCTTCAGTAAGCCCTCAAGCACCCATAGCTGCTTCATACCCAAACTTCTTGTTAACACCCATGATGTACCGTAACCAGCAGATACATGAATTCAGCAAACCAAACCAAATCAAACCAAACCAAGTCAAGTCTTATGTCCCAATCATTTGAGGTCGGCTATATATTTCCGCCTTCATCATTTATTTCAATCATGCGCTATATGCTCATACCGGTGTTATTTAAGGCGTAAAGCGAACCGAAGCGACCAAGGCTCCTAACGCCTAAGCGAGAAGTGAAGCAAAACGATTTACTGAAGCAAAACGAACAGTTAAAAAAATAAATAAATATTTTAGTTTAATTACTTATACACATCTAAGTTCTAATTTTATATATACTAAATATTTAAATGCAAGTAAAACCATAAACATTCAAATTAAAACAAACAATAATAATATCTCAAATTTTAATAACAGTCATAGGTTAAACATTTAAATTCAAATAAACACTAATAATATCTCAAATCCTAAATTTAAAAACATAAGACACACAATTCAAACAACTAAAGAAACTATCTCAAGGACTTAGAAATCAATCCAGCGAGCAACCAGTTGTGCTTAAAAAAAAAGGGAATATTGTTCACATTCACGACTTTTGTGTGGGATCTTCATATGGACTAGACAGCAATACAAGGAAAAAAAGAAATATTGTTCGGAGCATTTCTTATCAGAGAAAAAAAAAATGTGATTAGAAAAAAAAAAAAAAAAGCATTGGTGAGGAAGGAGCAAAAGACAGAACATGTGATCAGGAAAAAAAAAAAACAGCAGAATCGGTGAGGAAGGAGACTAACAGACAGAAGAAAAAAAAGAAGAAGAAGAAGAGAGAAGAAGACTAACATGTTGATCCTCTAAGAGCAGCGAGCAACGAGCTTCTGTCGATCGATCGAGTCCAACAAGCAGCGACAGAGGCTCTGTCGATCGATCGAGTCCAACGAGCAGCGACAGAGAGCTTCGATCGAGTCCAACGAGCAACGAGCTTCTGTGTAGCAGCGAGCAACGAGCTTCGAGCTTCTGTGTAGTCCTCCTCCTGAGCAACAAGCAGCTAAAGGCATAAATTAGGGGATAAATTAGGGTTTGTGATTTTATTTATTAGATAAGGGGATAATTCGGTGTATCTCATCTTATAATTTTTTTTTTCAATCGCCCAATCCAACGGTTCAAATTAAAAATCAAACATTTCTCGCTTTTTATAATAAAGCGAACGCATTTTCACTTTTTTCGCTTTTTCGCTTTTTCTCGTTTTTTTCTCGCTTCGCCTAGGGTCCTCCAGGCGCCTCGCTTCTCGCCTAGGCGAGCTTTTCACAACACTGACTCATACGTTATACGCACATGAAACCAGCACAAGCTCTCCATTTCCTTCATGAGGCCCACATCAAATGAAGGGATGCTTGATGCAATTTGCTTGTCTAGGCCAAACCAGATAAGGATCCAATTTATGTAGAATGTGGAGATTAGATGGGGGAGGAGACCATGGGAGGTCTACGTAGAGCTTTTTCTTGATAGATGGAGAAGATCTCCCTTTCCTGTATGTTCTCTCTTTTTTTTTTGCAATATTTCACTTGTCCTTCGTATTCATGTATGATCTAGTTGGTTGTCCTCTTTTTCATCCAACTAATGTAACTTAATGTATAAGTTGGCTGGATGCCCATGGATGTTTTATTAAGTATGTCAATGAATTCGTTATTGATCCTAATAAGGGGAACTGGTAGGTGCTGGGCATAGGTTTGGTTCTTATGTCCAGTTATCCACTTCCAAAGACGTTTGAACAGTAAAAGGGAAATGACTTGGATTCTTGAACAGGGTAGTAATCACCGAGCAAATGCAATCTTTTCACTAATGAGCATGGGTTCTCTAGTCTGGGGCATAAGGCTTCACCAATTTGCTATTGTTTTGCTTTCTGAAGCATTGTGGTCATAGTTGCGTGATGTTCTTATGATAGATTTATAGGACCTGTACTCTTGTGCATCTCTAAACTATTATGTTAGTGATGTTTGACTCATTTGTTCTGTATTTTACTAGTTAATGTTCAATTTTCTTCCAGATCACCGAAGTTCGGGACTTTGCAGGTGAAGAAATTGAAGTAAAAAAGCTTGTTGATGCCACTTCACGGGAGGCAACAGATAAAGCAAAAGCAGCGGTAGGACCTTCTTCTGCTGTTGATGCTGTGCTTGAACAAATTAAAAAGAAACAAAAGCTCAGTGTGCTTGACAAGACAAAAAAAGATTGGGGAGAGTTCAAGGAAGAAAACAAAGGCATGGAGGAAGAGCTGGATGCTTACAAGAAGAGTGCAAATCAATATTTAGATAGAGTTTCTTTCTTGCAGAGGACAGATTATCGGGAATTTGAGCGAGAGAGGGATGCACGCCTATTTTCGCAGGCAAAGAGGAAGCCAGATATGCGAGAGGATCCGTGACAGTACGATATCTTTATATTGCTTCCCGACCAAGAACTTGTCAATTTGGCTTTGTCAAGATAAGGAAATGGGAATCAAGTATTAGCCTTTGCACTGCCGTCTGATTTGCTCATAGGGTCGGATGTTGTTAGCCAGGGGTGAGAAACCTGCACTTCTCACGTATGTCAGGGGTATCATGTGAAGCTTAAAAGATGTTGGGGACAGACGGTGCATTCTTCATTATGTATACTATTAAATGCTTGTCTCAATTTTCATGGTGTGGACGTTGGATCCTGACACGGGGGCAGGCATGGCCTTGCATATAATGCTCATAGTTCATTCTTTCAGTGCTGTTTTACGTTTCTTTGCTAGTTTTTTTTTATGCTGTGCTGTGCTGTGCTGGAATATGCAGAAAAAAAACGACACTTAGAATTGTCTTTATCTGACACACAAGAAATCATCGCATACTCATATACTGGTAGCATCGACAGAACCTGCAGTACATAGCCTTTAATATTTTTTTTTTCTTTTTTGGTTTGGCGGGCTGGGTAGTGGCCAGTCAGACCACCATCGAACTGATGGCGCTTTGGCTAAACTCAATCTAGCTGTCGTAAAAGCAGTATGTTTTCTACTTTTTTTTTGTTATGTTTGTTCTACTTGTTTGAATCTAGGATTGATTTAGGAATTTCATTTCCACGAAAAATTTATTTTTGGTGGGTATTTGTCAAAATTAAAAAATTCATTTTTGGTGGGTAAATTGTCAAAATTAAAACCTAAGGGAGTTAATTGTAACATGACCCAAACTTGGGGTGCATTTTATAATTAACCCATAATAGTATAGATATAGATTGTTAATAGAATGGGACTTTTTCACTCCATTTAATTTTCTTACTTCAAATTATTAAATTCATTCCATCCCATTAATTATTATATATATATTTACAATAATTTTAATTTTTTATAATTTTTCAAAACTCAATTGATTTGACTGAGTGAAGAGAAAGAGATGTTTTCAAATATACCAAAAAAAAAAAAAAGAGAGAAAAAGATAAGGAAAGGGAATGACGAGGCACAGGACTTGCTAATTCGGGCACGGGTCGGTTGATAAATAGTACGTACCCATAAGTATTCAATAGTAATGTACAGTAGTACAGATCCAATGTATTTTTGTAATTTAAGTATCAGACGCTGATCACAGCCAGCCTCATTACTTGCAGGATTGCAGGATGAGTTTCCCTTGAAATGCCATTGCCTTACCACAACAAAAGATAAATGATTCACGTAGATTTCCTTAGCCTGTGGATGAGACAAATCTCCTCCAAGAAATAAATGAGCATTCCCATTGATCTCAATCCAACTGCATCCAGGACTCCTCTTCACACACTGCATTTTTAAAAGAGTTCTCAAATTGTTCACTTCCTCCCACATCCCAACATCAGCATACATATTTGAGAGCAGGACATAATACCCACTGTTGTCTGGTTCCAAGGCAAACAACTTTCTAGCTGCTATTTCTGCAATCTCCAAATTCCGGTGGCTTCAACTGGCTGCCAATAGCGAGCCCCATATTCTCGGTCCCACTTGCATTGGCATTTGAGAGATAAGGTCATACGCTTCCACTAATCTCCCAGCACGACCAAGAATGGAAATCCAAGCATAATTTTCATGTTTTTGGTTCCACAAAATGCGCTATACTCATACAAAGTATTTCAAGCTAACATCAACAAGTCCAGAATGGCTGCATCCTGACAACAACCTCGTTGAATACCAGCTCTTATCATATCCTCGAATGTTGACAAAGCTTCTGTTCCATGGCCATGAGAAGCATATGCAGTAATCATGGTGTTCCAAGTAACCAAACTCTTTTCATTTTGACGGATCCTATCAAAACAACTTTGGGCATCAACAAGACTCCCACACCTAACATACGTTGCAGCAAGTGCTGTTTCCACCGAAGAATGAAAATCCAAACCGATCTCAGTAGCATAATTATGAATTCGTCTAGCAGACTCAACAGTGTGTGCACAAGCAGGTAAAACACTCGTGATTGTAACCCAATTAGGCTTCACCTCCGAATCCTCCTGCATCATCTCATCATAGCAGGCATTCATTAAACAGAAATCATGAGGATTTCTGCTTGTGAGTGTACCCGGATATGATGAATCATAGCAGGTACACTCAGCAGTCTGTCAACCCATTCTAAGTGTACCTGGATATCATAGCATTCCAAGACACAATGTTACTATTCTGACATTTTCCCAAATAAATCCTCCGCAACAGAAATCTTGCCATCTTTCATGTGCCCAGCAATCAACGCATTCCAAGACAAAACATCTCTCACAGGCATTTCATTAAACAACTTATGGGCATCACTCAATTCACCACATTTCACATACATATCAATCCAAGAAGTCTCTACGTACATATCAAACCCCAACTGATGCAAATGGAGAGCATGGTTCCCAGGCGAAAACTGCTCCTTAAATCATGGAGGATGGCGACTTATTCAGCTTCTAGAATTCTTATCAACTCTTATCTATTTATTCTGTTGCTAAGTTGTTAATTCTTTCCTAGTTTATTTCCGTAAGACTCTTTGCTATGTTGGCAATCCTTTCCTAGTTTATTTCCTGATTTATAGTACCCTATGTAATCCTTTAAATATAGTAGTGATGGAGGAAAGAAGGGGTGCTGATATATTTTTCAGAATATTGAATTTGAGAATGAAGAGATTTCATTAACAGAGAGATTCGGTTTGTATTTTATTTCCTCTTAGACATCGACGTGAGGTTGGCTCTTGAGGTTTGCACCACCAACCCAGTTCTCAAACTCAACCCATGAACGCATTTTCCCAAACCAACACGCGCTAAGTCAGCACAGGACTAGAGCACAAAAGGGTATGCAAAGCAATCACCTTTAATACCCAACAAATGCATTCCAAAGTAGGTTCCTAAAGTTCTCTCGAAAAACCCGTACCAGGTATATGCTCGAATAATTTAATTGTACAAAAGAGAAGATGGATTTGCAATACCATCAAATCGGAGTATAGCGGAGTTTAATTCGCCTGAGATAGCGTACATTGCTACCATCTTTGAAGCAACGAAGGCGTTGGGTTGGAGACCTCGGAGGACCATATGGGAGTGGACTTGTTGGCCTAGTTTGAGGAAGTTTTGGCCAGTCAAGAACTGGAAAATCGGTCGGTGGGTATGATGAAATGTGAGGTGGGTTTTCTGTCGGTGAATGCAAAAGAGTTTGAAGCATTCCTTTTTGAGAAGGAAGATTCCATTTCACAAATCTTTCCATTAACAGAGAGAATTATAGGTGAGGGGAGGGGAGGGGATGGAAAACTGAGCACATATAAGTTTTTGAAACTTCATTCTCCCAGTAAAGGTAGTTACTATATTATTTTTTAAATCTACAGTAATCCACATATTTGAATGGAAAGGCATATTAAAATTAGTGATTAATTAATTTAATGATCATCGTCATTATTGAATATTAAGGTCACAGGTCTCATCGTCCCCTTCACTTATTATAGTGCCTAATTAAAAAATTGAATTTTTTTTTTTTTTTTCCAACTGTCCTATTAAATTACCGTCGTGGTACTTTCTCACTCCTCTACCAAATTAATATTAGACCTCATACGAAGCTCTCTCCCTCTATACATACAATAGAGTAGATTTATGAACAATGACCACAAACTTCCTCTATACATACATGAAGGATTAAATGAAGAAAACACTGATTACTCAGCTAAGCTCACTCTGAGTTCAACCAAACTAAACTAGCCAATGTTTTAAATCGCCAAAGCAGATACAAAAATGTGTAACCTCACCTACATAATATTAACATCAGGCATTCATAGAGGCAAGATTTTGCTAATGGTGACTTCAAATAAGCTGTATGAGTGGTAAGACATGAAACATACAATAGGATGCTTTGTGCAATTGCCAAACCATTGAACTTGTATACTGTTTGAAGTTCATGTGGATCAGCTCCTTGCCTTAACAACTTCTTGCTCCATTCCACTCAGCAGCAAGTGCCCAATAGAGTTCGAGTACTTGTAAAACTACAACCACCAATACACAGGACATATGAAACTGTTGCATTTCCAAGAGGCATGGAAAACGAGAAGAACATATAGATCTCGATGTGCCTGATTATGGATTTATCAAAAGACAAACAAATGATACATATTGTCTGAAATTTTAGAGCCTTGTAGATTTTCTAGAGGAATGAAAGAACAAACAAATACGTACATCTAATTTTTAAATTGCCATGTAGATTAAGAGCCTCGTATGATGCTTGAGTCAACTATGACAGCAAATAACTTGGTATCTAAGCACAAATTTGCAATAATATAATCAAAATAGATAGAGCATTGGCCTGTGGTACCTCACTCTTAATCTCTTCGGATTTATGGCCTAACTCTTGCTGTTTTGCTGCTCCAGATTCCTTCACTGAATTAATCTTTGCAGTAATGTCATCCACCTAACAAATTGAAGATACCGTAGATGCTGAATCACTTCCGATTTACTTAACTTCAGCATAAGCATTAAAATTGTTGACAATACCTCTGCAACAACAGCTTGAACCTTACTTTGTCTCGATTCAAGATCACGCCTCTGAGATTCCACTTCCAACTTGACATTGTTTAATTCTTTAGTAGCTTCTTCCCAACTGAGATTCCTTTCTTTTTCTAATTGCTTTCTGAAGTCATCCAACTGGTCCGCTGAGAAGGGCAAGCTTCTAACTTGAAAGTATAAAACCAATTACAAAGGACAGTAACTCAAAATATAGACAGAATAAACGCTACCTTTCCCTTGCCGTTCAACCAGTTTGGCTTCAAGTGACCTTTCTAACACCACTTCATCACTCAGCTTAACTTTTAGAACTTTAACATCTTTTTCAATCGATTTGGCAGAGTTCACCTGTAAGAAGTGGCAAAGATATGGAAGACCACAGAGCATGAGAAAACTTTTGTACAATTTTGAGGTGACATGGAGCAACAAGAAGATATAGTCATGATACACACCTGTTCTTGTATAGCCTGCATCCGAGCAAAGTGCTTGGACATTTTCTTGGAAGCCTGAGGAAACAATAATTTACACACTTTGGTATATGCACATCGATGTAGGTTGGTGTATAACCATGCATCAAGTCTTGTTATGTTTGATATCTATGACATCCACTCATCTTGGCTCTATAATGATTCAGGTATACTTCTCATCTTTTGACTACAACATTTGGGGTGTGCAGTTTCTTACTTTGACTCCACATAATTGTCTATTTTGGGTTGGAGACCAAAATCATTTTTTGAGAAGCAACATGAGGTCGAATATAAAATATAGAGGAAAATTCTTTCAGTTTGGCAAAAGCTCAAAAAACATAAATGATACTTTTGCATCTCAAGAGGGAATTTAAAGTACAGTCGCACAAGTATGATATAGATCTTCCTAGAGGAAATATTTGTAGAATATTCAAGGTTAGGGTGCAACCTCGCTGGTTGGGCAGGTTGGAGAGTTGCATGGTACCAACTTGGATTCGGAAGAGACCTACCAAAATATCGCCTGGATTTATTGCATGGCACCTAGATCCTTGACTGAGCCAAACTACACTGTTAAGCAATGAACCATAAACAGGACCATGTTCCAACCATAATCTCACATGTGCTCAGTCCATGGATTCTCTTTTCGGGGATTCGTTCTTAATAATCCACTACCTTTAATAGTGTTTTTCTTTTTGTTTGTATTCAATATTGACAAGTCATAGTTCTTTAAAAAAATTAGTGGGATTTTTTTAGACTTGCACTCCACCCCATCTTCAAGATATAACATAGGGTGGTCATGGAGCCAGGTTGGTTTAGGTTAGTCATTGACCTAGAAGAAATCGAATCTTGTCAGTTTCCAAAAATTCGAAACCAAGGTTAGGTGAAGTTAATTCCTGGTGGGCCTTTGGTTCTCCATCTTTCCACAAACATGAAGAGTGAAAACCTCTTTTAATGCTACATACAAGAAAAATAAATATGCTTCAAGAAGCCAACTGCAAATTCACCAATAATAGCAGATAACACAATAGTTAATAGCTAACTAATAACACCAAGATCACATTTGGCATCATAACTTGTGTCCATCATTTATCCCAATAAGGCATGAATATAAAATAACTCATTCAACAATGTTACAACACGCAACGTAAGTATAAAACTTGGAAATGAAATCCAAACCATGAAGGCCAGTATAGTCCAGTTGTGATAAAAAAAAAAAGTCCAGTTGTGCGGTTTATTTCGTTCCACTATTTGGCACTCATTTTAACAAATGAACATCATTCAAAATAAAGGCAAGGATCAAAAATTTGTGTCGGTATATTGTTTCGGTCACCTAGGAAATGAAAACGTTTCGAAAACAGAATAGAAACGGATAAAAAATTCGATAATTTATTTCCATAACATTTCAAAAATATTGGTCAAAATATACCAAAATATCTTTATTAAAGTATAAATGCCTAAGTGACACCCTCTCCAAAAGTTTAGACGATTGTTTAACATGGTATCAGAGCAAGAGGTCCAGTGTTTGAATCTCGCTGCCACCCTAATTAGTAAAAGAGTTTCCATGTGCTAGGCCCAAAATCTAGTATACACTGAAGGGCGTGTTGAAGTATAAATATTTAAGTTATACCCTCGCTAACACTAAGCTTTTGGAGTAGATGGTTGTTTAACAATTTTGAAATATCTCGAAACATTTGTAGAAACATGTCAAAACATCTCGAAACACCTTGCAAAAACCTCAAAGCAGAACAATTTCAATTCAACTATTGACTCGTTTTGGTCTCCTTTGAAACAAAAATGTTACATCCGTTTTGAAACAAAATTTTGTTCCTTGAATAAATGTATGTTAAATCCTAGGAAGTTCAAATATCAACTTATAACCTATAGTAGCCAGTGGCGAATCTGCAATGGGGGCAACTGTCCCTTTTGAAATTTTGAAAAATTTTGGGTAAGAAAATTTAAAATTTATTTCGTATTTGCCCCATAAAAAATTTTCAAAAAAATTATGGATATTTATGTAATTTAACAAATAATTGAGTTACTTTTGTATATGTTCAAAGTAGTTTTGTAAGAAATAAAACAGATCTTTTTGTCTGTCTTTCACGCATTTGCGTCATGACTTTTGTTCTTTCTCTATTGAGTTTGCCATTCTCTTGTTCAACTTCAATAGTTCAAAAGCTTGACCTCTTCAACTGTTCAGCTCTTCAATCATTCCAGAAGGCCATATATGAATCCCTCACAATTCTTTTGTTAGCGACTTAAAGCTTTTTGTCAATCGAATCGCACCTCTTCAATCGTTTGATTCGTTCCAAAAGTGATTTTTGTTTACAAAGGATTAAAAGCTGATTGAGAAGCAACTTCAAAGAGATTCTGTTGGATCCAAATTTTTGAAAGGAAACCTCGATTTTCATTGTTTTATATATTTTAAATTTTGGGGGCAGCAGGTAATTAGGGTTTTTATTTTTCTACTCATTTAATTTTATTTCTAATAATAGAAATTAGGCCTTTGATTATGTGAACTTGAAGTGAATACTAATGATTCGATCCATTGTGTTTTGATGTATTTAGGACATCATCCACAGTCGCGCGACACACACCAGTAGAATCAATAAATGAAAAGCAGTATTGTTCAGCCCAATTAAGGATGCAATTAGGCAACATTCCAGATAATCGATTAGGCTACAACTATTGTTATGTTATGTTAGTAGGTTGTTTCTCTCACTAACAACTTATTAAGTGTGGCCATCGAACACATTAAGATTATCCGTCTCTGTAGGTTAGCCAACCACTTTTAAGTGTTAGAATCAATGCGTGGCATAATCGCTAAAATGATCTTATATATGCACAAGTTTACAACAAGATTTGTAATTGCATCAACCCACTTAACTATGGCACGCTGGGGGGGGGGAGCCATGACTCCCCTAGATGTCTCAAAACCCTATTGTTCAAAATCATTTTATGATATATTGAGGGGATTCTTGTTCCATCTCTAACGGTAGATACACTATCCAAATGCATGCATCCTTAATTCTCAATTTATTCTATGTTTCCATTTTGTTTTCAAAACGCCTTGCGAAATATTTCGTAAATATTTCTGTTTTCTATATGACCGAAACTATGCACCAAAATAAAATTTGGATCCTTACATGTTGCAAAAATGAATGCTCACATTGAAGCATAAATTTTCAAGAACCCCTCCGTTATTTTTATTTGCTTAATTATTTATTATGGTGTTAATTTGAGGATTTTAGTTTACTAACAAACTACAATGGATTCAATATTATGCAGTTGAATTTCTTTTCCAATGAAGTTCCATAAACAGTTATGTTCTCAACTGCATCTGCAGAACTGCATATACAGAATATACAACATAAACTTGTAATTTCTGTTACCACAACCAGTATATGGGTGAATGGTAATACTTGGTTAAAATGGTAGCTTACGTAAGAATACCTTGGTGTAAATCTCAAGAATGGCACTCTTCTCCTGAAAAGATTGCATTGCAGCTCTTTCAGCATCTTTTGCCTCGACCCGAATTGATTTCTTCTCCTCCAAGGTCCTCTAAAAGTTGATGGAAAGAACATTAGGGTCAACACCGAAAAACAGACATGCAAACTATTGTGTGTGGATACTAAAACGAATAACGAAAGAAAGTGTGGGGATGGTATACCTGATGTTATCAAAAGCTACAGGAAATTCCCTAGTCTATCTAGCATCAAAAACTGCATTAAATTATAGCATTGCTAAAATAGCGAAGGATAACTAGGGAACAACTTTTTTATTTTTTATGTGTGGCCTTGGGATTGGAGAAAGTAGGAGAAAATAGGTATTATATTGAAGGACTCTCCTTTAACCAGTCCATAATTAAGATCGGAATCAAGTCCACTGCCAGAGCAAGACAATATAACAATTAGGAGACCTTAAAATCTTTCAAGCATCTTGACAAAAAAAAACTGGTCCATGATTTTAATTCAGATAGGAAGCAACTACATAAGACTAGTTAAATTATAGAGGGTTTGGCTACAAAAGAGGGAAGAAAGAAGAAAGAAAGTCAAAAAAAAACAACTATTTGTTTGTGTGGGAAGGAATGTCCCCACATAAATTTTAAAGTAACTTGGAAAAAATGAAAAACAAAAAAAGACAGCAACAGACTGCCATGCAAAAGACATATAGAATATTGTAGCAGATACACACTGTCAAACCATTTGTGTTAGCTTTAGATTACAATACATCAAGGGGTTTTTATTTCAACATAGGAAAAACATCACTTGCTACTCCTTTAAAAACACAAATCCGCTGTCATGTTTGTACCCTAAAACAACCATTAAAAGAGGCTCTGAAAGAATAAAATCCATCCCTAAGAAAGCAGGATGGTGATGAGATTCTCAGTAGAAAAACCAATCCTTACTTTAGCCTCCTATTTTTTACCCCAGCCATGTCAAAGATAGCACATACATCTTAAACACCATTACCAAGGCACCAATTTTAGCATTTGACTTATTTTTACTTTCAAGAAAGCATAGATCGTTAATCAACAAAGTGAACCTTGCTATTAAAAGATCTAGAACCAGCATTTAATTAGCAAATTTGGTTAAAAGTGCATATTCCAGATAAACATGCTATAACTAAACCATTTTATGTCCTTTTGACAAGTGTACATAAATAATCTTTAAGAAACTTCTAAGTACCTTCAAAGCCAATGAATTTTTCTTTATATGTATTATTGTATGTTTCGAAAAGAAATGGTAAGAACTAAATTCAAAATTTTACATATTGTTCTGCGTATCCACTTCCACATCCAAAGCATATTTCATCTTGGATACCAATATCCGATTTGTATCTAGAAATAAAAATATATTTTATTAATTATTTGATACGTATAGTCCGCATATATATTGGATACAAGTACTTTGACCTAAACCAGGTGTCCATACTCCATATGGAGGAATTAAGACAAGGTGCAAACAAGGATCAAAATTTCGTTTCGAAGTACCGTTTCGGTCAACTCAAAAATAGAAACGTTTCGGAAACATTTCGGAAACGCAATGGAAACGCAGAAAAAATATGGAAACGCATAGAAACACAAATGCAATCCATTAATTTATAAAGATATGCTAAATAATTTATTAATTCAACATATTTATTAGGTTAACATCAATTTATACAAGAATAAATTTAAATTTGAGGGAAAAAAAGGCTTGACTTGAGGCGAAAGTCACTTAAATTAGTTTCAAACACTTAATTTTTATGAAATAAACACATTTTTACATAATATTAAGGTCTTATAATACACATGAAATGCTAATGAGTACATACTTACATGGTTACATCCATTCCCCTGTGGAGTGTCGAGCAGGCTCATACATCGGTGTAGGCTCTGGGTAGCTACTTAGAGAAACTCCATATGTGACATAAATATGATGACAATAGTTACTCCAAATCATATTATTACGGTAATATAATCCAATAATAATACTATTTTATTATAATACTAATAATTAAGGGTATCAAATTAAATTAATGATACTTATGTATACTTAAAAATTAAATGTAATTGCAGTGGGTATTAAATGTAATTACAGTAGGTATTAAATATAATTACATTAGGGTATTAAATGTAATTGTTAATACTTATAACAAAAAAAAAAAGCAAAAAACTTGCACAACAGTGAGGTATTAAATATAATTACAGTATGTATTAAATATAATTATAATGGGTATTAAATATAATTATAGTAGGGTATTAAGTGTAATTATTTATTCTTATAACAAAAAAATTATAAAAGACAGAAGAGCAGTGAGAATTAAATGTAATTATAGTGGGATATTAAATATAATTATAGTGAGTATTAAATGTAATTACAGTGGGTATTAAATGTAATTATAATGGGTATTAAATATAATTATTCATAATGAACCGAATATATCACTGTTTTGTCGAAACGGTTCGAAACGATGCCGTTTCGACCGAAACGGTCCGAAACAGTACCGTTTCGACCGAAACACTGGAATTTTGTGATTCAACTACTGTTTCGTTTCGGAGTGTTGAAATTCCGAAACGTTTCGGACGTGTCGACACGACATTTTGATCCTTGGGTGCAAAACAACTATTTTTCTTTAATTTTCATTTTCCTTGTTTTCTCATCCTCAATTAAGACAAATGATAGAAGTAAGCTTGTATTAACAGTCATGAAGTTGTGGCTTCATATCTGAGAGAAATTGGTCCATCTGACCCAACACCCGGGATGGGGACCAAAGGGGGTAATGGCATCCAAATTGGCTCAATGGATTATCACTTACATATAATAACCATCCTCAAAATTCAAGAAATTTTGAAAATTTGGAGTTGAAACAAATATCTTAGTCATGTCTCCAACCGCTACCCACAGGCCAAAGCTACTTGAATATTATAAATACTCTGGCCTCAATAGAGCTAGTAAAACCAACAGCATGGTAAATTTTACAGTCGTTATAATGTTATAGACACTAAATTTTAGTAATGTCATTGAACGTGAGTCACAGTGCTACTACAAGGACTGCCATAATAGACAGGTTAAGTATATAGCATGCCAGTTGCGTCTGAATATAGTAAACGATGCACCCAGAGCCAACTGCATGTCAGATGACTAAATAAGCTGCTTCAAAACTACGATAAACAAAGTAGCACACCTAGTACCTGTAGTTTATCCGGAGATTGAACAATTTTAGAACGTAAATTTGCATTTTCTTGGACACTTTGTACCAAGGCAAATTCTGCACTAGAAATCTGGGGAGAAAAACAGAGACAGTGAGAATGTAAAGTAAGACAGGCAAAGAAATCTGATAACTGATCTGCATGGAGAACATTAAATACTTGAAAAGATCAAATTCTTTAGCAGTCCTTTACTGGTCTGGACAAAAAAGCTACAATATCCTACAATTGCCAATGTCTCCATTGCCAGAACTGGCACACAAAATATGAGCCTTGTGCAAATAGGATGGCATGAATCAACAAAAAAGATATGTGCAATGCATATACACATATATTAGAAATAGCAATAATAATATACAAACAATACAATGATCACATGATTCACCAACAAACTCACAGACACACCCCCTCAACAGATGCATATACAGAGAGAGAGAGAGAGAGAACACATATAAGTATGCTTGGCAATTCTGGACAGTTACCAAGAACCCAACATGAAATAGACATGAAATCTAGGGGTTTGTGTTTAGACTTTGAGTGTTCGGGTGGACTTGTAAGACCTGTCGACAAGTGGGTCATCACAAACTTGGCTAAACAAGGCACAAACCCACTAACCATGATAGAAACTCAAATATACATAATTAGAAATGGGCGGGGTATGGATGGAGCAAATTTTGACACAACACAAACCCCACGACTCAATGTCAGGCCTAAATATATATGCCCAAGACACACACAGCAAACAAAGAGTTGCTGTGAAATGAGTGCATAGACAATTTCACTGAGGCACAGTCGATGTGGACCTTTTTCCTTCAATGATATATTTATTGCTAGATTATTTTTTATTAGAATATTTGACACTCAACACCATATTAGAACTCTATATATAGATATCAAATTCTCACTCTATACTCACCGAACTTCTCAAACCCAATCTAATCTAACTTCAAGTATATATAACTATTTTGTACCATGGATATCTGCCTTTTCTTTTCCATCTACACCATCCTCTCTCTCTCCCAATTTGCTTTCTTTTATTTGAAACTAGTCCCTAATTTACTAAAATCAACCTTTTTTTCAAGAAAAAAAATAACTTATTTTTTTGGTTCATTTTGCCTCTATTAGTACAAAATTAGCCTTTGCTTCTACATCTCAAGCTTTGTTCTATTCTCTCTCCCCCTCCTTCCCCCCAAAATTTATTGCATTAAAGTTGCATTCGGTATAAATATATGATCTGCCTATATTATCCAGAACATAAGTGTCAATTCGATGAAGCCAGCGCTTCGCCTCAGTCCCAAGCCTAGGCCGTAGGTGACCTTGGCATATCGGTGCACATTTCAATTTAAATAACCTGAGTAAGCCAAATAAGAAATTTTCAGTGGCTTTAAGGCTGTGGCCCTATAATCTGATGTTCCATACTGCCATCTACATGGGAGAGCACTGAATAATTAATTCCCTCTTTGTGCTACTTTAGTACTTACTATAGACAATTTATCCTACCCTTCTTTTTATATCTGCTTAATACTGCATCAAATAGGCCCAGTCAATCCCTGTGAGAGACTAACCAGTTAAAACACTATTAGTCAAAACTACTTGCATATCTATATCTCCCAAAACCCTCAGCTACCAGAGATAATTACATATCATATTGTAGCCACTGGCGGCTAGCCAGTTATATCAACTCCTTAACATAGTAGCTTAAGGATTCATGGTTTCCACTTATCATAGAGTTACCCCGTATTGAAGCTGCTAATGTGTCAACTTAAACATTGTATTTCTTCTTCTTTTCGTTTTTCTAAGTAATAAAAACCTTACCTCTTCATCCATTTCTTTAGCCTTCTCCTTCATCTTTCTTATTGAAGCCTTCAAGGACATTTGGTGATTGTTAAGTGTTGGAATAGTCTGACGCAATTCTTTTACTTTAGCATCCACTACTTGAACAAGTGGCATCTCCCTTTCTCTTGATTCATTATACTCTGTGATCTCTGCATTCAACTGCGACGGAGTCACGGAGATGAATAAGTACCTTCTTACAAACAATTGCTACATTAGTGTATATCCACAATTAGGAAATAATACTAGCGGAGATACCTGTGATATTCTAGCTTCCAACTCTTGTCGTTGTTCATCAAGAAGGGTCAGCTCTTCCACAATTGGTCGCAGAAGGTTCATTTTGGTGTCTCTAAGATATGTAATATGTTGAAAAGAAATTGAAGAAAGAAGGAAAGAAATTAAAGAAAGAAAAAATCCATTCTCATAGGGTAACACAATAACTGTTGAAATCAACATCTGAATGTTGCGTCTCATGATAAAAACTAAGCAAATAACCATTATTGTAAAAATTTAGTCAAGTAAATGACTCATGGAAACTGAACCATCATCACATGGAATCTTCTGTGTAAACTGCTACAAGTCCATTTAGATAGACCATAACATAAAATGGCCACCAGCATCACAAGAAATATTAAGCATTCAAAACAGTGACACTTATGGATTTCTAATCTTATACAACCTTGTTGCTTCCAAAAATATTGTAAAAGTTCAAACCAGAGACAGTTGCTGAAATTGAAAAAGTGACCTGGTACAATCTCATGTCATGTGCTACAGTTCTTACGGGAATAGTAATAGATGCTTAAATAACAGTTTATAACATGAAGTATTTCAGCGTGTGTATGACGCCATGGATCCAGTTACATGGTAGGCCCAAACATTCCTTTAAGTATCCAAAACAATAGTCTCAAAATTCGAGCCCAATGTCATTGGACAACAATGATGTTATGTGGACGAACATCACAAATGTCCACACCAAATACACAATCCACATTAAATTATACCCGTTGTAATCTTGCATCTCTTAGCAACATAATTGTGGACCCCAAATTTTGGCAAGCCCACCACTGAACTCTATGTCCTCAGCCACAAGTACATGCGAAAATGTCCAAATATCTATTCATGATATTCCAGTTGCCAACCTATCCAATAATTTGTCGTTCTTTTCAAATCATGGAACATATATCCCTAATTTGGAAAATGTGTTCATACACAGCACTGCCCCCAAACACTTTACATACCACCAGAGCAATAAGCATGTGAAGATAACACTCGAGTAATAACACTTCCAAAAAATGACACTCAAATCAGGTTAGAGATGATTATCTGAAATTCAAATATAACGAAGTTTTGTTTCAAAAGAATTCAGCTGTAGATTCGGATATTATGGCAAGCTTCAGACTTTAACTATGCATCTTTAACTTTTTGTTTTGTTGTTCAAAATTTTTCCATATCTTTCAAACAATTCAGCTCATTTTTCCACAATTCTGGCCCATAAAAAAAATCAAAAATACAAATTAGAATTTTCAAATGCGTGAATATTCATAAAATGCAGATTATCCTACACCTTCCAAATCAACATAAAAACACGTTTCTAAAGCCATTATATGAATTAGAAACAAAAACAAAGCCCACTAAACGAAGAACAAAATCCATCACACTAATTGTAATTTGTATTCATCTAGCATCATTTTCTTGGCAACCAACCGAGTATAAAAACAAAACTACCAAAATAACATATGAACCCAAAAAAAAAAGGGTACCTGTGGAGACAAAAATTGAGTATCGCACTGAGGAACAACTCAGTCCGGTCCGAGTCAGGCTTTATCAAATCCTTAAGAGTAAATTTCTTAGGGCACTCCAAAGAGGCCACAACTTCCCTAATCTTGTGGAACAAATTCATCATACGAACCGAATCGACATGGAGGTCCGGGTTCTCGAGCTGTTCCAAGGCCGCGAAATCGACTTGCCCATAATCTTCCCTGCAAAAATACGAAATACCCAGAATTAGAAACCAGTTTCGGAAGTGAGTTGTTGAAGGAATCAGGGTTAAGGTTTGGGTGAACGTACTGGAGAGAGTCGATGTGGATGAGGATTTTGGTGTAGAGGTTGGAGACGAAGTCGGGGTTAGGGTTTATGATGTCGGCTTCGGAGACGGTGGCAATCTGGGATTCGGCGAGGATTCCGACAATTTCGTGGCGGGGGAGCCGTGGGTAGTCGAATTTTGACATTTCTGCAAATGCAGACCAATTGTTTGTACCTGTGCGAGAGGGAGAGGGAGAGAAAGAGAGAGAGAGAGCTCTAAACAGATACTGTGCGTTTGTCTGTGTGATTTCCCGCCCAAAATGATGGTAGTAAACTAGTAATTCAACTTGAATGTCATAAGTCCGGTTTGGTTTATGGTTTGGGTGGGATTGGGTTGAGGGAGGGTCCGGCTCTCCACGGAAAGTTAGTAACAGCACTCTGTGTTGTTTTATGATGCGTCACCGTTTTGTGACAAAAAGACATACGGCAGTGTTTTGCCCATTCTTTAACAGTGACGAGTTTCAGAAAATTAGATTCCCTCAAAATTTTAATATTTTAAAATAGTAAATTATTTATCGTAAGTGTATTACCTTCTATCCAGTGTGTTTGGATGGTGGGATATCGGGGGTTAAATACTAGTTAAATTGTAGACAATTGAAATGGGTCCAAGTTATCCATGTTTGGAAGTAAAAATGGTGCCACGAAATCCCATTTAAGTATATCCTTAGCCCAGCGTGTACAATAAACCTTTTTTTCCATGTATTTGGGTTAATTTTAACCTACTAGCTAGGTGGGTTAAATTTGCCTCAAGTGAGATAATTGTATTATTTTTATTTTGCTCTCAAAAATTAAAGACTTTAGGATTTTGGGGAGTCTTTTGCATCTACCTCTCATATCTAACGTTTTCTATTTCTCTCCCCGTTGTCATCTCTTTCGTTGACTACTTAACTTACCATAAAATAAATATTTGGGTCTTTTTGATAAAATTTTGAAAATCAAAAGAAGAAATATTCACTAAATCGAGGAAAAAGGCAATTGAAGAGAAAGCACATTTGGGTTCTTGAAAGGTCGGGTCGGGGATCTTGAGTTTGTTAAAAATTTATATTATTTATTTGTTTTTTAAATTTTAACAAACTTAAATACAAAAACACCTTTTGTCTGTTGCACAAGATTGATCACCTTACATTTGCTCATCTTTCTAGTAGGCATTTATGGAGTCATTTTTTTCCTCAATAAACTATGAGCAATGTTATGCAGACTTAAAAATTAGACTTGATAATCTCGATCATTGATTTTATTATGGGTCCCAATATTTATTGGGACCCAGTACCTATTCAATGGTTAAGATTATCAAATCTAATTTTGTCAATAGTTTGTCGAGGCTTGATATAATAGTTCTTGATTCCGACATCAACTCTGTTTTTTTTTTTTCTAAATTGTTGTTTGTAATACATTAATTGGATGCCATTTGATTTGACTAAGTTTTAATACGAGTGTTGTATCTTACTAATGAAACATCATATTGGTTTCCCCATCATTGGTCTAGATTTTCTGTGTCTTGGTTAAACAAAGATTAGATCTAAATCTAAGTCCCCTTAATTGCAGCCACCAGCCTCACGTGGGAATCTTAATCGAAAAGAGTTATTCGAATTCGACTTCTCATATTTTAAACAAGTTAAACTTAAACAATTTTTTAAAATCATTTGAAAAAATGAACCTTAAAGATTTGATTCAAATTCATAAAATTCAGCTCGTTTCTATGTAAAATAATCCAACTATTCGAGTTCAGCTCCTATCGAGTTCTAAACTTATCAAACTTGAAACATATTGAAAACAAAAACTCTTCATATTACAAATTTCTCACAAATTAAATTTTGACCCCGCAATTTTTCGAAAATCACCACTCCGGGGCACATTAGTGTCTCTTTGCCGGGAAACAATCCAACGTGTCCAGTGAGTAACTACTGACACGTGCAAAATTTAAGAGCATCCACGTGGCACTCCCTCGGATATCTTTTCCATGGTTCTAAAAAAGGCAACTGCCACATAGTAACTCCCCTCGGATGCCTTTTTTCGGGCTCTAAAGAGTAGAGTCCGGGTGGATCTCAGGAGTCTGGAGGAGTAGTTGCCGAAGGAAATTCTTCAGCTACATCATCAGCCAGACACAACACAAACCACCAAAAATGGTGGCGCGTGTACTGTACTATGCTAATGATTAATAAGCTTGACAACTATATCGATTAAAACGATTTTGTGTTAGATAAAATAAATTTATATTAAAAAACTTTTTATTCATACCCGCGTTTATTTATATAAATATGTCAAATTATCACGCTCATTCTCCTTATTTATTAGACGAGTTATTCGGCATAACCTTTGTGTTACCTGTTAAATAAAAGAATTGATTAAAAAAATTTGAGTCCACACAAAAAATATCAACTCGCCACATATTACGTATGTTTAACTTGTTTATTAGAACAATAAATTATGGTTGAACAAAAAGTTTGTGTAAAACAATGAATGTGAAAGAAATCACCGTTCTTGATGTGAGACTAAGCCTGTCAAAATTCGACACGCATGAATTGACAGGAATTAAACGGGTTTGAGTGGTAAATAAGTTGACATGTTAGACACGTTTAATAAACGGATCGTGTTCGGGTGGAATATGTCAAACCATTTATTATACGTTTATCTATTTAAATAAAATTAATATAATAATACATTAATAATTATTTTAAAAAATTAGCTAGAAAAAAAGAAAATAAATTAATAAAATAAAATAGTAGTTCAAAAACAAATGAGGGAGGGAAGATGGGAGCAGTTCACGACAAAGACAAACCAAATTTTTTGTTTTTGTTCCACATCAGCAAATGAGGAAAGATGGGAGGTTTGTCTTGCCTATACAAAACAGTGGTCTCTTGTTTTTTTTTTAGCCTTTTAAATCTGATTTTTAAGTAATTTTTGCTAGAAATGTCTCTTTTTCGAAATAAATGCAATTGACAGTGAAAAAGTGGTATATTAAAATTTATTGATATATTTTTTTTAAAAAATTAAACGGGTTCGTATTACTATTTATTAAACGGGTCGTGTTTGTGTTGAGATTTTTCACCTATTTATTAAACTTGTCGTGCACGATTTTACATATTTTTCATCCGTTACCTGTTTAATCCGACACGTTTGACACCCCTTTGTGAAATAGAGGCTAAGAGACTTATTATTATTTATTTATTTTCTTTTGAGAATTTATAGTTTCACTATTAATAGGTTAAAATGGGTTTATGAGTTAAGCATAAATCGATTCGTTTATTTCGTGGGTCTACAAAGTTAACTCATTAATCATCTGAACTCATTAAACCTAAACCCAAATCTATTAAATCCATGTCGATTAAGTTCACGAGGTATTATTTTTCGTTATCCATTCATAAGAGCAGCAACGTGAACAGTTTTGTTCCATCTCAAGTTAGAAATTTCGACTGCACTTATTATAAATTTTACAATTAGAACCCATCAAAATAACCCACCAAAAAAAATTTCAACACTACATGCCAAGAACATAACTTGTATATCATACTGGACGAATAAGAATCAGAAACCGCTCTTTAACAAGTTCCAACTCCAGTGCAGAGTGTAGGCATAAAATTCATTTTTCAATCTAAACCAAATTTCTACTTCAAGATTTAGAATAAACCTACACATACAAACGGGCAGCACATAATTCCATACTCTTAAATAGACAATTTTACAAACCTCATACACCATACTATTCTTAAACACACACATAATGACACTGAGGGCACATACACACACAAAAACTGTTTTAACTCAAAAAAAAAAAATGTTTCATGTATTGTGTCACACACAGGCATAAACCTAAGGGTATGATTTCATGTACTGTGTCACCGTCTCAGCAAGAAATTGTATTGTTGGCTTGGCATCCATAACTCAAAGGATCATTTGTCATGCTTTCACGTTACTTTCCATCCCTAATGTCAGAGAAATTAAGAAGCAAGAGTAGTACCATCACGAAATCAAATCCGAAATTGCTCGGTCTTTTTATCCCACTGTCAAGAAGTAATAAGTTCCCCAATTTAGTGTATAGAATTCCAAAAACGGTTGTTAGAAACTCCATACAATTTTAGCCAAGTCATTATGTATAGATAATAGCATCATTAAGAGAATGATTAAGACTGAAAAATAATTACAATTTAATTATTCAAAAATAAAAATCACGCTCTTACAAAAGATGTCTAGAATAGGTAAAATAAAATCTTATTACAGTGATGCTTTATATTTAGAGCATCACTATAGTATTATATATAAATAGTTTATAATATATTCTCTTTTCCCCTGATCTTTTTTAACTCTCTTATTCATTATTTGACTTTTTTCTCCATTCTTTTTCTCTCTCTCTCCAATATTTCGAACAAAGAAACAAAATATAATAAAAAATATTTAAAAGTAGTAATTAAAGTATAAAAAATTTGTCTGAGTGTGTATTAAAAAAATGAGTAACTAAATTAGAAAAAAGTGTATTTTTTGATAGTTAAAAAAAAGGGTTAATTACAAATTATACCCTAAAAAATCGTTTGAATCTCAATTTGTACCATCAAATATTAAAAATCTTAATTTGTATATTCAAAGATAAAAATTTGTATCAATGTGTACCCCCAAAAATAAAAAATTTCAATTTGCGCCCTTAAAGATAAAAATTTGTATTAATATGCACCTAAAACTAAATTGATAAATTATACCTGGATCCCCTCATACTTGTCACTTAATCATTTGAACCCATTCACATTTAGAATATTACTCTTATATCTCATGATGTTTGTGCACGTATAACACATAACTCATTTTCGTTGATATCTGTTAATATAACCATTAAAAAATATGATTTTATCTTAATAAAAAATTATAATTTCATATTACCCTTTATTTTATGGGTTTAATATACTCTAAAATTTATGGGTTCAATATAATATAACTTTAGAGTATATCGAACCCACAAAATAAAGGGTAATATGGAATTATAATTTTTTATTAAGATAAAATCATATTTTCTAACAGTTTTATTAACAGATATTAATGAAGAGAGGTTATGTGTTATACATGCATAAATATCATGAGATGTATGAGTAATATTTTAAATGTCAAGGGTCTAAATGATTAAGTGACAAACATAAGGGGATCCAGGTATAATTTATCAATTTAGTTTTAGGTGCACATTGATACAAATTTTTATCTTTGAGAGTGTAAATTAAAATTTTTGATCTTTAGAAATGGACATTAATATAAATTTATATACTTGAGGGTATAAATTAAGATTTGAACTATCTTTCGGGGTACAACTTGCAATTCACTCAAATAAAAAACCTTGTTAGAAATGCCTCGGATAAACACACATCCACCCACACACACAAATACAAATGGAGACACATGCACACAGATTTAACTCAGATCTACATACACACGCACATAATATATCGGATCTATGCATAAATTTAGATAGATTGAAGTATATGTATACAACAAAGATGAAAATTAACATGAATGACAGATAATATATGGAAGCCCTTTAAAGTTTTAAGATGAAAGTCTTCATAGAGAGACAACATAGAGACAAAAGAGAAGGAGAAAGAGTTTTTATATTTCAACGAAAAACTTCGATTTTTTGTGCTAAGAATTCATTAATTTCCCCCAAGTTGTATGCGTTGTTTCCGTTTTTTGTTGTTTTTAAAAACATTTTTTTGGTTTATAATTTCGGGCCTTGTTTTAAAAAAAAAAACGTATCAAAAAAATAATCCCAAACAAGTTATTATTATTATTTTGCAAAAAGTTAAAAAAAAAAAAAAAACATAAACATAAACAGTACCAAACGCCCGCGCGAATAAACCATAAAATTGTAAATTCAATGCTAGGTCACGTCCTTTTAAGAGCGTGGAACCACACGTACCAGCGAGGGGGAGTGACAGTCCAGTCTAATAATAATTGAACCAGCGATCCTGTTTCTGTTCCTATTACTGGGGACTGTCCTGACATTTTGCCATTCTTGATGTACGGTACGACGTCGTCCCATCTCACTTTTAATAAATACGACGCCGTAACATTTTAAAACTAATTTCCAAAACACGACAAACCATGAACTTCCAAGGTACCACTGTAATGAATTATGAAAAGAAGAGAGACGTTGACCGTACAAATCTACAACTACATGAAGACATGTAAAAATACATCGTTTTCGAGAGCAATCCCTGAGGACCCATACTCTCTCGCTCCACTCTCCTCCCACTTCCTCACACACACACACACACTTGGAGGTCTGTAATGGCTGAATCTGGTTTGCAACGATGAAGATAACCGGTGGCAAAGCAGACCTTCAGGCAATTGTGTCTGCAAAAGCTCTAAACCCTTCACCAGATTCAGATCTTATAAAAAAATATAGTTCTCGTAAACCACCTCGCCGGAAGACTAAGAGCCCCAGATTTTCCGGCTCCGGAGCCCGGTTGAACAGAGACTTTGGAGCTCCGACGGGTAGACGGAGCAGACCCGAAACTCCTTTGCTTCGTTGGAAGTTCGATGAAAGGAGACAGAGAGATGTGGATGCTAAGGAGGAAAAGTTGTCGCCGGAGATGTGTCGGAAAAGTGGGCGGAAAGCCGATATTGCGGTCTCGGCAAGGAAGCTCGCCGCCGGACTATGGCGGTTGCAGTTGCCGGAGGTTCCGAACAATGGCGCTGGTCAAGGATTAGGGCTTTCTCAGGTAGAGTTTATCATTCAAGATTTGTACTTTGTACTTTCTAGGGTTTTTTTTTGGGTTGATTTACGTAAATTGAAGGGTGTGAGTAAATATATGTGATCTTGTGAAGTAATGGACATATGATGTGGTGTCTTTTCATTTAATTTGGGCTGAATAATTATTGGCATTCGCCTTGCTTGTTCAGTAAGATTAGTAAGAGCAATAGTGACTGACGCATTGCTCAGGCTTGTGCTGGTAAAGGATTCACTGAGACGGTTTAATAGCAACACTTTGAATCCACATTCAAGTCAAACTGTGTTGGTCCCCTGGATGGTCACAGTTCATCCATGAATCTTCCACTTTCCTTTGTTTTTTTTTTATTGGAAAGAAAAGAGTGTCATCCTTTTCATTCATTTGGACAATTGATGTGTTAATTTCATTAAAGTTTCTTGCCATACATGTACTATTTATGAAGATTGAGGTTGCTTTGTTACTTGTTGATGGGTTTTATTGTTTTCTCATAGTTCTTGAATTAGTATTTCAATTATTGAAATTCTAGGATGTTATGATGTTAGCTCATGGTTTTGCTTCTATGCAGTGTGGAGTCAGTCACTTTGGTGTCCCTGTTCATGGTCATCACAGCAGTAAAGCGCAGGGTTCTGAGGTGAATGATTCAATACAGAGTCCTCATTCCATCACTGGGCCAAGAAATGGTTCGTTGTGTAAGGTACAAATCTTTCTTGATTTTATAAATTAATATAGCTATTTGAGATTGGTTAAAGTGGGAAAATACTGTAGTTAAGACTTAAGACCGCATTGGAACTAGAGGGTACTTACCCCTATTAATTTTGGAACATGGTCCGCTACTGGGGTCCTGAATGTTAGATCCACCATTTGCCTATGCTTCGTTTAGGTGATTAGGTAACTTCCTTTCCCATGCTTGATCTTGTTTAGTCATAGTGGTTGTTTGATTCATCAACTTATTACAACACCGAAGATGGTCTCTGGATGTTGAATTGTTACCTAAAAGCATGGAGAGTGACATAACTTCCTCTTTCTAATTAGGACTGCATTCATTTAACAAAAATCATTTCTTCCTTTTATTTTTTCTCAGTTTTTTTTAGCTCTTCTGATCTTGGTCCTACTTTCATACTTGTAGCTTGAACCTTCATATCAATTTTCAAACTCTGGACTGGAGGGGGCAACAAAATGGGATCCCATGTGCTGGAAAGCATCAAATGAAGCAGAACAGATATATGGCCACCCAAAGGTTCTTGACCAACAAGCGAGTGCAGTCTCAGTGGTGTCCAGACTTGAGGTAGAGCTTGAGCAGGCTCGAGCCCGTATTCATGATCTTGAAAATGAACGGCGGACATCAAAGAAGAAACTCGAGCAATTCTTGAAAAAACTCAGTGAGGAAAGGGCCACATGGAGGAGCAGAGAACATGAGAAAATCCGTGCAATTATTGATGACACCAAAGCTGACTTGAACAGAGAGAGGAAAAATCGCCAACGGATGGAAATGGTTAATTCCAAGTTGGTCAATGAATTGGCTGATACCAAGTTATCTGTGAAGCGCCATATGCAGGACAATGAAAAAGAGAGGAAGGCCAGAGAGTTGTTAGAGGAAGTGTGTGATGAGCTTGCAAGGGAAATTGGGGAGGACAAGGCTGAAGTTGAAGCGCTGAAGAGGGAATCCATGAAACTTCGGGAGGAAGTGGAAGATGAGAGAAAGATGTTGCAGATGGCTGAGGTCTGGCGTGAAGAACGGGTTCAGATGAAGCTAGTTGATGCAAAGGTCACACTTGAAGAGAAGTATAGTCAGATGAACAGGCTGGTATCAGAGCTGGAGACTTTTCTAAGTTCAAGAGGAGCAACCCCAGATGCAGAGGACATGAGGAAAGCAGAGCTCCTTCGACAGGTTGCTGCCTCGGTAAATATTCAAGACATCAAGGAATTTACTTATGAGCCCCCAAACCCGGAGGATATGTTCTCTGTATTTGAAGATGTTTATTTTGGTGAACCCAATGAGAGGCATATTGAACCATGTGTTACATACAGTCCTGCCAGCCATGCCTCCAAAATTCATACTGTAAGTCCAGAAGTTAACTTATTTAACAAAGGCACAATTCAGAGACATTCTAATGCATACGTTGATCAGAACGGTGATATGGAAGAAGATGAGAGTGGTTGGGAAACAGTGAGCCATGCTGAGGAGCATGACTCTAGTTATTCACCCAACGGGAGTGACCCATCCGTCAATAAGATTCACCGTGACAGCAACGTGTCGGGGAGCGGAACAGAATGGGAAGAGCACGCTGGTGAGGAGACCCCAATTACTGAAATCAGTGAAGTGTGCTCAATACCAACTAGGCAATTGAGGAGGGTGTCATCCATATCTCAGCTGAGGAGATCATGCCCAAGTAACTGTGAAAACTACAAGATCATCACTCTCGAGGGGAATAATGGAAGGCTTTCTAATGGGGCCATCGTTTCTCCAGATCGGATGTCAGGTAAACTTGGGTTTAGCCCCCAAGATTTGGCTGGAGAATGGAGCTCACCTGACTCCGGGAATCCACATATAACTCGAGGGATGAAAGGGTGCATTGAATGGCCTCGTGGCATGCAGAAGAGTAGTTTGAAAGCAAAGCTTTTGGAAGCAAGGATGGAAAGTCAAAAGATCCAGTTACGCCAAGTTTTAAAGCAGAAGATTTAGATATTTCTCAACTGCCAATCCTGCTCAGAAAGCCAGACAAAAACGAGCAGCTCCTTCTTCAACCTTCATAAGGTATTTATCCCTGGCTGCCTGAGATGTGTAAAGGTTGGCAGCGGTTTAGTATCTTGGGATTGATGTTAGCCGGTTCTCCGTTTTACTCCCACAAATTACCTGCTGGCAGCGATTAGGTATCTTGGGATTGATGTTAGCTGATTCTCCATTCTACTCCCACTAATTACCTGCTTGCATAGGGGGTTCATCAATTTGTGCCCACCTCTTAGGAATGACGCTTTCAATTGAACAGCTGGGTTATTCTGTCACTGGTGATATTTTGGTTGTTGATGATATTATGTAGCATCCACTTTGCGGGTGATTTAGACAACGACGTATACCATATTCACTGTACTATTTAAAATCCCGGGCAACCATCAAGGAAAATCAAATTGTTGTAGAGGCTGAAACATTGGCATTCTGTTCTACTTTGTAATTTTATTCTGATATGTCTCTTGAAATTGAACATGACAACAGTGTTTAATAGTCCTCTATTCTTCTGCAATTCAATTCGTGATTCTCCTGCACCTCTCTCTCTCTCTCTCTCTAGGGTCCAGGGTAGAAAGGGAGTGTTAATCGTCTTGGCAGAGAATTAACTGGCCATGACTAGAATCCGACCAACTCTTCTGGAAAGTAGCTATGGTTGGATCTTGATACGGTGAAAAGGGACTGCTTTCTCATGCTTCTGAGAGATTATAGGCCAAGGGTATGATTAGGGAGGAGCAGTGCAATGACCTGGTGACCTCTTTACTGTCTCCATGTCTCGCGTATGCGCTTCGTGTCGAATCAAAAGATTAATAAAATGGAGAGATGAGACAATTCCCACTTCAATGTTGTATGTAATGTAAGTTTATCCTCATCCAAGGTGAAATAACACCATGCCAAAAAAAAAAAAAAAAAAATAACACCATGCCACAAGGATTGCCAGGAGGTGATAACAAGGTACAATACCTACTTCGCTGATTCTGCCTCAAGGGATCGTTCTGGTGGACGATACACATACAGCCTTTGCCATGATAGTATAGGAGCTAAGGCATTGTTCTGGTGGATGAGGGCAATGAGGTGAACAACTGTTAACTGAATAAATTAGACAAGTTTATTGGTCCAAGTACAACAATCTACTGACAACTAAAACCATACAAATTAACGAACTATGCCTAAAGTAGCTCATCAAAAGACAGTAGGTTTTAATTTCTGGTCTTTCTTCCTCTTGGTGTCTTTTATCTATATTCCTGAAAGTTGACATGGCCTGTTGCTTGTGCATGCTCCGCAGCCTCCTGCATGTTCAAGCACATAAATTGACAAGAGAAAAAGTAAAGAATTCAGAATCGATGCAAAGTAGACAAGGAAATAGAAAACAATGAGGAGAGCATATTAATTGTAAAGGTGAGATTACCTTCTGACCAATTACTCCAATTTGGCAAACCCCGCATCGCAAAGTGAAGTTGGCAGTGTCTGTGTAACTCCTTTTCCTGAATGCACCAGAATGTGAAGGAACATGATCATCTATGAGTTATAGAAAAATCATACATGATCCCTTTTTGGAAACACTTATTAATTACATTAAAGTTGTGATTAGATGGAAAACAAGGATGCAAAGCAAAGAAAAACAGCAAAGCAAAGCAAAAGACCAAGAAGAAGACGAACAAGAAAAAAAGGATTAGGCTGCAACAAACATCGCCTTTAAATCAGGCCAACTCATAATAAATGATAATTCTTCAATGGTATCTTGAATATGATTGCCAATTATGCATTCTGTAAGCCAGAAAAAATCTGTCCTTATGATTTCATGTCAAACTCAGTTCAGTTTTCAACTTTACATTAAACAAGCTTCTTTAGAGCATAGCAGGTGGAAATTCAAGCAAACCAACCAGCTCAAGAACTCAAGCTGGGACTGTTTAACAAGACACTTGAAAACACCAAGCTCAGATCAAGTACAAGCTTTGTTAAGCCTTGAACAAGCTCTAACTCCTCAAATATCATGAATAGACTATCAGAAGCATAATTTAATTTTGACCGAGTCACATTTAGCAGCTCCATCATCTGCCGTCTTGGCTAGTGTGCCCTATACATTTTGTATAGGGACGGAATCAGAAATTTATTGCAAGGGGGGCCAACATCATCTTACCGTTTTTGATAAATTCCACAGCAAGTTGATGAATAAAATCAAAGTATGCAAAATTTACATGAGTGGACAAAATTCTATCTGCATGTACGCGACATGATCTTTCATCTAATTTTCTATTGAAAAATTTAAAGCAAAAAAATTTGCAAACTTGAATAATTCAAGTTTAAAAATTTGAAAAAAAAATTTACAAACTTAAGTAATTCAAGTTTAAACACCCAACCCTAAACTTATACAACTATTCACACTCTCCCAGAATCAATAAAAAAAAAAAAGGTAACTCTCAGTGTCTAAATTTGATATCAAATTGAGTGGTTGGTTTAAGTAGTTGTCACTAGAACAAAAATTGTATGCCCAAGGATGTCACATAAATAAATAAATAATGTTATTGGTACTAAAAAAAATTAATTTAATTTGTTAACCTAATGATGTGTCAAGTGATAGAATCCTAATGAATAAATCCAATAGTTAATGTCAAATAATTTTATTCGACTATGTCACTATCACATCATTAAGTCAATAAATTAAGTTAATTTTTAAGTCTCAATCACATTACTCTACATAAATTATATGAAAAGCTGCCACCCACGGGCAAGATGAAAAGGTTGGGGCAATTAAACTTACAGCAGTATCCTAATGGCTTATAGCAGTCCAAGATGTGATCAGGTAATATTGCATGGCTTCTAAGGTTATTTGGGCAAACAAAGTAGGAAAATGTAAGCAAATTTGTCAATATATATAGGCAGTTCTTGGAAAGCTGAGCCATAACATCGTTCCATCTCTGATTTTGTACACACATCAAAGTGTGACTACACTAGCAAAAAAGAAATTACTGCATTGGATCCCTATCCACCAAAGGTATTTGTAGAGGTGGATTGAATACATACTTAACATTGGTATTTTTCACATAGAGTCGCCATCCTCATATTCAAACTCACAGCCTAAGCACTTTATCACAGCACAAGGGCATGAACCCCTTGTGTGCAACCGGTATTTGTTAATGTCTCCCAATCGAGAGGATCAAGAACCAACTATCTGTAAGTCCTACCTATACATTGAAATTACAAATACTACATAATATGATTTCCAGCAACGGATGGAGATGTTAGGTATCTGATAATACTCAACCGCACATAACAGGAGAAGCACTTAAATCATGGAAAAGTTTTCTAAAAATGACCAAGACAGCCCACATACAACCTACCCCATAAATTAGAAACAGAAAAAAATTTCTCACAAAACAGATGGACTATAATTATTGAACTGTACTCATTTGAATGTCATTATCGAATTTGGACTCTGTTAATCAAGGGGCCAGATACATACCCATCCATGACATTGTTTGATCAAAGCATCTTACAGTTTTGTGGTAGTTAGGCCAAAACTTGTCACGGGTACCAGAGACTGACCCCTTAATCAACTGTCCATTTTTTCCACCCAACAACTTATCCGAAACAAGGCAATGCATGCCTGTTAAAACTCTAAAGGAGTATTTGAACTTTAACTTGCATAGAGGAGGGAGAAGTAATACTGTGTAGTAATGAATATGACATTGTACCTCTGTTGTTCCTTTACAAGATTTAGAGTAAGCCTCTCAACCGTCCCAATGGTCCTGTCATTTACTGCAAATATTGTCTGATCAAACTCTTCTGGAGCTCCTTCAGCGGGAGACATCTGCAGATGAAAGACATGAATACAAGCCCCTGAATAAAGTGCTCTATATGATAAACAAACAGGTAGAAATTTGTATCATCAGCCTCCGCATCGACCACTGTCCATCACATGGGCAGACAACTACCAAGTCCTACACATGGGGCAACCGGGCGAGTCTAAGTCATAAGATGGAAATGAATCATAAACGTCCTGTTCCCGATGATTTTTCTAAAATGAGCCTGACAAATAGTTTATACATGTTTGTGCATCTAGGGAGAGAGAGACCAACATACAGCTAAAGCATCATAATGGAGCCCATCATAAATCAGAACAGCTCTTTCCTGATAGTTCTTGCCCTGCTCAGCAGTACTCAAAAGAAAAAAGATAGCAAACTTCAGTAAATAATTCAGTCGATGGCATTTCGGGAAATAAATAAATTCACATCACATGGCACACACCAACCTGTCCATACAGATCACATCTTGTGGTTTGGATATCGTAAGCCGCAATTTCACGTCCATAATAATCTACTAATATTGAAAGTTCTATGGCACCTTCACAAGAGAAAATAAAGAATAATTATAGCAGAATGGATCTAAGAACTCACCTAAAAAAATATCTAAAGAGCCTCTAAACAACACCGTGAAAGCTAAAAGCCTAACAATTTGTCAAATATTCAGATTTCAAGAACTTGTTTTTTGGTTATAAATTATAGATTTATTGTCCTAAGTGGGTATCAGAAGAAAACAAACACCCCACATAAATTGCAATCTATGCAAAACTACAAAACGATGCTTTCAAAATTTAGTTATGGTATCCAACTCATTCCCAGAGAGATTAAGTCATATTTTCTGGGCTCTATTTGGTTTCCAGAAGAAAGAAAAAGTGGAAACCCAAATAGTTTGAATTCCAAAGTTTCATTTCTTTTATTTTCTCTGCCAAAAAAATAAAAAATAAAAATTTGGGGTGAGCAACTCTGCAAAAATGTAATGATTTTTACCAACAAATTCACCAGTTAGTTCCATACATCGTCAGCCAATGCATGCAACATTACTGATATCCTACTCTGAAGAAAAAAATTGTTGCTTTGTTGTAACCACCTCAATTCAGATCTTAGGAAGACCATCCAAACAATTTGCAAAAAATATGGCCCCCCTTTTGAATCTCGATACTGACATGCCTTCAAGACAAACTATTACTTATGTGTAAATGTGTTTGTTTGTCTTAATTATGGCATAGACACGAAGAGCTAGACAATTTTGCCATTATTACGGATCGCAAGCATGAATACCCAAAAAAGATAAAAACCTAAAATTCAAAGGAAAAAAAGGCAGACAAAAGCACAGAAAGAAGACCAAGCTGTAACATGCTTTGGCTAGCATGGTCTACTTCCAAGCCATACATAGCCCCAAGCTACATCTTATTGACTTCATTCGTCTTTCTCTAAATTGAAGCAACCATGTTTCTATAGAGCTACCACCAGAAAATGTTGAAGAAAATGAAGCCAAAAGACAGAACAACTCCAATAGACATACTTCCTCAATCACACAGAACCTCTTCTAGACAAAGTACTTTAAATTTTTAAAAAAATTGTATTTTGAACTTCATTGGAATCATCTAGGATATTTGTTCAACAATCCGAGGATGAGAGCATATTAGCATAACCATACAGTAAGCATTAAATGTAACTGCAGCCACAATTTAATAGGTGAAACTGTATGTATGGAATGACACTTAGACAACTCCAAGTATAGAACTCTATGTTTGCTATCTTTTAATTATACAGTGCAGACACCAGAAGTGAGGTCTACCAAATTTAGATCTCTGCCAATCAATATAAATAGTATACAAGGGGAACTTGGTAATGGAATTTGGAGAAGGAAAAAAAATCTGATAGATACAAGCTAGAACTACGCATGTGAAAAAAGGTGCAGGTTCAAAAAGGCAGGTGATTGGAAAAATATATTGCTTGACCCATGTTGTCCTTTATAATTAATTCTGTGAATACTCAAGTAGGCCATATTTAGAAGAGAAAGAAGTGCAAAACGAACCTCCCCACTTCTCTGGGTTAAGAATCCAAGCACAATATTCTTCATTTGGCTTTCCAAGGAATGCTTCAGAATATTTAATTGGATCGCTGGCTACTGTTGCAGCTATAACCTTCAAAATGAAAGGTCGCAGTCAAGAAATAAAGACGGAATTCCAATAATTTGATGTGTATCTGCAATAGCAGAAGAGGAATGCCCAGGCAACAAACTTGTTATATTTGCCATTGTTCCGAAGTCTCGTCATTGGAAAAACAAACTATATCTGCGCATTTAAGGACTGTTGATACAATTTTTGAATTACCTAGATCTGTTATTATTAGTACTCAACATTAAAAGTCCCTTCGGAAACATTCAATAGAATTGGAATGATATAGAAAAGATTAACCATGGCCTCTGTGCAAGGATGACATGCACAAATGGAGTATTCAACATTAAAGACTTAAGTTTATTATGAATAGGAATGATACATAAAGTGTTAAAGAATAACAAGAAAAAATTTATATTGAGGTAAGATATCAAAGATAGTAAATCGTGACCTGTCTCAACTCAGAGGCTTTGTTTCTGTCATGGTCCATGACATACCTGCATATACAGAGCCAACAATAGAATGCTAATCTAACATATGCACAAAATCTCTTCAATCAGACTGAAAATACTGAAGAGAAGTCTGAAAATTTGGAGGTTTACCCAACAGCATTAAAGAGGCAACTGTTATCTGAAGGAATGACCCTCCTGACAATTGCACCTTCCATGTTATAAGTAAAAATGCACCTGAAAACATCAAAATTGTAGAAATTGCTTCAAGATTCGATTACAAATTTGACTGGGAGTTCATAATCCTTATGAATGCTTTAGACCCATAAAAAAAGGACCAAAATCATTGAATTAAAACATTCATAAATAAATTACTGGATAAATCCCATCCCTTAATACATAACAGAGGAAAGAATAAGGAAAGGAAAATTCTGATAGACAACAAAAAAAAAAAATAAAAAAAAATAATAGACAATAAGAAGATGGAAAACACCAGACCTCAGGTGTCAAAAGTAAAGAAAGATATGAAGAGACTCAAACCTCAACAAGAACCTAACTTTGCAGACCAAAAGGTACACTAGATCCAAGTATATGTCTCAGGACATGGATTCAAGCAAGCACAACATGAAAGACAAAAGCAGCCTATACAAAGAAGCCAACTAAAATACAGTAGAATTCTACAAAAAAATGGAATAATTTTCTGAATGAACAAAAAGAGAACAAGCATGTACAAGGAAGAAGCAACTAGATTCAGAAACCAATCTAAAAAAATTAGAAGAAAAAAACTAACCTTGATTAGAAATGATGGATTTGAAACGATAACAACAATATTATTGCAACAGCAGAAAAGAAAAATGAAAAATATCAGATCTATCTGTGTACCCAGAATTTGCTTTAGAAGTGAAGAAAGAAAGATTTGAAGTTGGAGTGGTTTAGAAGAGGCCCACGAAAATAGTATATTTATGGAAAAATTTCGGCCACATCCCTTTCAGTTTATTAGGTATTGAGGCGTTGATGCTCGTTGTCGTAAATTACGGATTTCATCTTTTGTTTTCGAACGTTGTCCCAATCATGAGAAATGTTTACCTGCCTTTGAGTCTACAATGAGGGTTTGAAAATCGAGTCATACTTTCTAAGTTGAGGTTGAATTTGTCGAGTTTATTTTTTTAAATGAGTTCAAAAAATTGTTTAAGTCTAAAAGGAGTTGAGTCTGAATTGAGCCAGAATTTAACTATTTTATATATAAAAGAGTAGAGTCTAAAAAAGTAACCAAATCGAGCCGAATCTAAATCAATTCGGCTCGATTATCAACCCTATCTAGGAAAACTAACTTTTGTCATATGAAACGTGTAAATATTAGTTATAATAGTTAAATTACGTCAGTATTGTTATGTGATAAGTGAATCTCACTTTTTGAATAAGAGACAATTATTATCTTACATAGATGGGTGATTATTTGAAGGAGTAGAGTTCATTTTGTTCAATTGTGGAGTTATTATTTAGTAATTACACCATATAACAATGCTAATATGATATTTATATCCAATATTTACTCTGCCCGACGACATATATGCGTTAGAATGAGGGTAAGATTTAGTGTTGTAAACATTATGTTACCATTTAAAAAATCTTAGACAAAGAAAAATGCTACTTGGACGTGTAGGAAAATGTTATTAAGCCAAAATCGTATCTTAAAACGCATAGGAAGTGGAAGGTTTTGACTTGATAATGATATATCCTTACTTGTAATTGTGGGGTTTACATGTAGTGCAAGTTAAAACTAAACAAAATGTAGTTGTCTCTCCCTTAATACATTCATTTTCTTGTCATTTTTTTTTTAAGGTTTCCTTGCGAGATTTTTCTTTTCGTAGTTGGCACAAGAACAACCTTATAAATCAAAAACACATCACTAACCAAATCCATTAATTGACGTCTTTTTATTTCACGATGCTATAACTTTTTAGGGTTAGTTTTTGTTTTCGATTATGAAATTATCTAGAGGAAAAAGAGTAAATATTTAATAAAATAGTGATATCACTTGTCAATAAAAGAATATATAACTACATAGAGAATTGAATTGTGCATACGCCCATGCTATAGTTATTAAAAGTATAGCAGTTCTTGGATTCAAGAGTTTTTAGTTCTCATAATTATCTTGGATTACAAATTTTTTTTTTTAGAAAGGAGGAGGGAGTGACTTGAACCCTAACCCCCCCCCCCCCGAAAAAAAAAATACACAACTTCCCTTCTTAAGATTTGATGGAAACTATCCTACATCCAATCCACTTGTTTTCTCTCTCCCAAAGAACAATCCTCTTCTATTTCCATCCTACCCCTCCCCGGAAGCCTGGGGAGGGGAGATGCAGGTTTACTTTTCATTGTTCTTGTTAGCGAAATCTGTTAGGTCGAGACCAGCCTGGGTCAACTGTTACCTTGTTCAAATGCATGCAATTCATAGCAACTGAAATGACTGAAGCTTTGATTCCACAGTTTCCCTGAGCAAGGCATCAACTACAAGAAGTGAAAAAACATAGGTGAAGAATACAGTGCCTTCCATAATCAGTTTTGAACTCCAGCAGCCCTGCTACCATTTTCTAATAGCCATTAACATACTAATCAATTTTCCCTCCTAATAGTAGTTCAGGTCTTCTTTTTATATTTAAAACTCGACGGAAATAAAACCAGCATCCCAGAAGCAATGTCCACAGACGCCGCATCCCACCTTCCAAAAAACTTGGGACTCTAAGTACCCAAAGGTTATTAGAGTGCTGCTATGCACTCTATTTCTATCTTCGCATCCATTGGTAATGCTGCTACCTGATATGTAGCACGTGCTGGTGCAGGTGATGGGAAGTCTGCAACACATGTCCAGTAAAATTAATATAGGAGTGCTGTAAATCTCATAACATATTTGTGACAAAGCTTCGTGAAGCACGAGCAATAGGTCCACACAATTTTGTCAAATTCGGGGTAACTAGATCACATCAATAGGAAAGTAAGGGCATTTAGATGGACCAACCAATGAAAAACTCAGTGCACCAAGTGAGAAAAACTCGGTGCACCAAGTGAGACGCTTGACAGGATAAACATAAAAAGAGATCGACAGAGCATTCAGTTAAGATGTCCAGCCATCAATTTTTGACAGAATGTAAACTTATAAAATGCTGAATGCAATTGCTACCATTTTCTCAAGAAACCTGGACAAAATGAAGTCCATGGTCAATAGTAAAATCTGATAATTTAATTCTTAACAACCTGCACAATCATCCCTAAACATCTAACTCAACAGCCCCAAGTCCATCCTGGACTTGAATTTCACCTATCCCTTTGGAAGGTGGTAAGAGCTATCACTCAGGAACAACTTGTTTTAGAAATGAAGTTTGAACTTCCAGGTGTTCGCACAAGTACGAAGCAGACACGGAGATTGAATTCCCATCCATTTGCACAAGCACAACGCGTTGAAAAATTTGATCACATTAAAAAGTCAACTAACTGCCCAAAGCAAATTTTTTCTTGTGTGGCCATTTGAAAAGGTATTAGGAATGACCTTTCCTGCTACCAAATTGATAATTGTAGAATAAACTCCATCCTATTGTTATCTAAATTCATTTTTATGCAGATATGGTTGGCCAATGAGATTTCAAATTACACCAGTCTCCTGAGTACTCGTATTCTGGATTTTTACAATCCACAAGCTTATGATTTGTTGTTTCCCTAACATGGTCCACATAGGGTGATATGGGTGAGAAACTCTGGTCTGAATCATGCATGTTACCACTAGTGCATACTCCGCAGACAAAAAACAATCTCAATTCTGTAACTTACATTTAGCATAAATTTCATTCACTTTCTTGAAGTCTTTCAGATCAGCCAACCTGTATCAAAACAAAAGTAATTCATAATCTCTAGTAAGCAAAAAATCCTTCCCCACAAACAAAACAACAAAGGAAAAGGAAAAGAAAGGAAGGGAAAATAATAATTTGGAGAGAAGATACAAGGACCACATACATAATAGTCGTCTTAACTACCGAAGAATAGGTAGCACCACTAGCTTTAAGTATCTCCCCCATATTCTTAAGGACCTGGAAATTTTCCATTTCAATCAAATCTTTCAGAAATCAGATCCACGATTTGGAAACTGTAAAGAATCAAGGGAATGTTATTTGGCCATGCCAAGTGATAACTGCAAAAAATAACTTGACATGCTACTACGATCAAGTGCCACAAAATGTCAGTGCCTCTACCATGATGATAGGACAGATAGAGAATCCAAGGCAGCTAAAAATCCATATTCTCTTTCTTTTTCCCCCTTTTCTTTCCAAATGTGCTTCCACAAAATAAGTGGATGTCAAGATAGAAGTACTTGTGGCTATTATTCTTACAAAGACACATTGCTAAATTTGCTGGGCATTAATTTACCTGCTCAGTTTGATCCTCTACATTGTCCGCTATGAACTTCCCAGTCTGCATACAAATAACCAAATACTTCAGCACACAGGTTGTTCAAAGAGATGATGTTATGCAGGAGCGGGACAAATTGGAGGAAGATTGATTAACTGAGCATTCAATTATCTATGAAGCAGTAATATCACTAACCTCTGGAATTAGACCAAGAACACCAGACACAAAAACAAAATTATTTGCTTTGATGGCCTGAGAATATGGTCCCAATGCAGCGGGAGCCTTTTCTGTTTGAACAGGCTCCTTTATCCCTAAAATCAATAAACAAAAAGTCGAAATTGCAATGAACATATGTATATGTGCACATGGAATGGCTCAAAAATCCAATGAAGAATATCTAAAACCAAAGGAAGATGTGGCATCCTAGGCTAAAGTGACAATTTTAAGCTTTTATAACCAATTCCCCACAATGGTGTCTTCCTAACTCAAACGATATAAATATGTCACATGGGTTCATTAAGTCGTTTCTGTTAGCAATCGAAAAAAAAAAAAGCATGAAATGGTCGTTCCCTCAAAAATCAAAAACAATTACATTGCCTTTTGACTTCCATAAGACAAAATGCACTTCCAAATTGCATAACCCAAACTGAAAATACACATTACAACAGCAATTGAAGTGGCACTTGCTCCAAAGCCATCGGATTGCAAAGTGTGTCCTAAAATACCCATCAATTAAAAGTGTAGCTGACATTTTCATACCCAAACTCAACAAATCACAAAATGCTTTATTGTAATCTATCAGACACCAAAATATATGAACTCTATGTCGAAAACGCTACATAATAAACTGAAATATTGATCGAAATTCTGAACAAAACTTATGTCGAATGACTGATCAGTTGGAAATCATAGACCGAGTCAGGATCCAGCCGTACAGATACGTCCGAGTCAGATTGAAAAACAATTAGAAGCCAGTATCTGGCATTGACAAAACCCTAACCCTAATTATTGTACTCAAGAATGAAGAACTCACTCGCGTCAGTAGAAATGCCTAAACAAGCGAAGGGCTTTGATCGCAGCGAAGATGCTGCTGACGGTGAAGATCGCCACAGGCTCGTGCCGGCCACCGAGACGCACCCTAGGCCGACGGCGAAGGGAGCACTGGTGCGCAGTGCGTTCACGTTGAGCGCCGGCATGTTGAATGACCTCGTTGCGGCACACCAAGACATTCTCTCTATCTCTCTTTAGTCTCTCTCTTAACTGTCTTTGTGTCTGTGACTGCGTTTTTTTGGGTCCGACTTATAAGCAATACACGAGAACCCACAATCTTAGGTGCTGTTTGGATCAAATAATTCGGTGGATTACAATGGGGATTGGATTAAAATTATGAAAGGGTTTACATATTCTTGGTTTGCGTAACTTTTTGGGGATGAGATTTTCGTTTGATTTTAATTACTCGGCCATAGGTTTTGAAGGGTATAATCCCCTCTGCAGGCCATTGAACAAACACTTGCCACATGTGGGATTGTGGGAGGAGAACTGGGATTAAATGCAAAATATCTAAAATATCCTCTACGGAGGAATAGCGAAATGGACAAGTTTCTACAACTTCTTGTTGAACTGCCGGCATGGAGATTTTCGAGAGAAGTATTTTGATATTTTTTCGCTTGTGTCCCTATTTCGTTGGAGAATGATTCTGAACTGGATTGATCTTGATCTTGATCTTGAGACTTAAAGTGGAAAAAACTTGGATTTGTATTAGAGTGAAGAAGGGAGGAGAGGAACAAAAGGGCGGGCCATGGGCGACGCCCACTTGGAGACCATATGGGTAGCGCCCCCCTTGGGGTACCCTTGGGTGACGCCAACTTGGGCGCCTTGGGCGGCGCCCCCTTTTGGGGATCTTTGATGCTGGTTTCTTGATATCCTTTTGAATTTCTTTTTGATAAGTCGATTCAGCTTCGATTGGGTTCTTCTTTGAGCTTTCTTGGTTTAATTAAATTGGACTTGGTCTAGTCAAATTCGGGCTCATCAATTCCCTTTTGAAGTGCACAAGAGGATTAGAGGTAGCATGGAAAGAGAAAAGTCCAGAGAGACTGTCGATGAGAGCAAAAAAAAAGTATTGCTTGTTATTGGACTAATCTCAACTTGCATCATAAAAAGTCATTCTAATCTCAATTTACACTCTCAAAATTTAAAAATATTAATTTATACATTGAAAGATATAAATATATATCAATATACCATGAGTCTAACTGACATCTATTTTGTGGTTAAAAAAATTTAGAATAATTATAAATTGCACACCTCAAATTTTAAATATTTCACATTTATATTCCAAAAAGAATTTCATCCATTAATATTTGTTAAATAACTTTCAATTGTATCATATCATATCATTTTCGTGTCGTGTTCGAGTCAATAAAAAAAAAATTTTAACACAAAAAATATTTTCTTGTCGAGTCAATTGAATTGTATTAGGTATTTTACATTTACGATAATTCTTATAATACTATTTAATATTTTTAAAAAATTTAAAATTATCTATTTTTTGTTTATAATGCTCTTTAAATAATTATTTTATATTTTTGATTGATGCATCTAATGTGAAGTTGCAATTGTGTTACTTAGGGATGAAGATTCCAAATATTAGTGTTGATGAAACTGAAGTCATGATTGACACGTTAATTGAGTACAAACATTTGAACCTTTTACCTCTTTACAGTTGCAAAAACATTTTTTTTAGATGTCCTACTTTTTAGTCATTTTTTTTCCTAAATAATACAATATTAATGGATTGGACTTTTTTTCATTCCAATCCAAACTCGGTATTGAATTGAATTACATTTATTTACATAAGGGTGCAATGATCATTTTAGTATGTTTTATCTTTACATGTGAATGAAGCTCATAAGCCAAATGATTTTTATCCAAAGATAGAATAGAATTTGAATTCAAACTTTATAATCCTCCAATTCGAACCACATTGTATTTGGTTGGATTGAGTTTGAATTCAAATTCAATCCAATCTAATCCAATTCTTCCAGGTGATCCACACACCTCTTTAATGTGTAAGAGTGTGTAATGAGCATTTCTTCCCCGGTCACAAACCAGGCTGGTGGTGGTTGGGGTTTTATTTTGAGGTTGGTAGACTATTTCTAATGAAAATTTAAATTTTTATTTAAATTTAGGGAAAAAAAAAGGTAAAAAACTTAATTTGATGTAAAACTTTTTAATGAAAAACTCAAATTTAAAGAAAGAAAAACACAATTTAAATTTAAAAAAGAGTAAAATATGACCATTGAATTTTTAAAGGAGGATGAAATATCACCATTAAAAATTTAAATAAATTTTGAGTAAAAAAAATGAGTCTCTCTTGATTTAATATGAGTATAAATCTAGTATTGAATAAAGTTTTTAGGAGTTTTTTTACTCAAATTTAAATTTGAATTTAAAAAAGGGTAAATATTAAAATTCAGACTCAAATTTAAATTTGAATCAAAATGGTCTAAAAATTTTCTCCAACTTTAAATCCAAACTTATACCAAATCAAAAAAATATATATATATTTTAGTCCAAGTTGAGAGAGACTCAAATCCTATACTAATTTTTAACAGTAACTTTTTATCCTATTGAAACCTAGAAGACTCATTCATTAGAAAAAGTTCTTGTCTCTCTTGCCTCTATTTTCAAAGTGGGTGCCATCATCTCTCTCTATGTTGTTACATTTTTCCTCTCTCATAAACTCTCTTTCTCAAAAATCTCTCTCTCTCTTAAAAAATTTATTACTCAAAAAGGTTGATATTCTTGAGTTTCTTTTGATTAATATTAGTGATTGTAAGAAAAATATTTTAATATTGGATAAAATGCTTTGGTGGAAAAAATTTAAAAAATGATCTATGAGACAGTAAACGAATTTTTTAAAAGATTTAAGTAAATATTTAAATTTGTTCATTGAAATATTTTATACCAAATCAAAATTTTTATTCAAATTTGAGTCATGGTTACAAATACTCATACGAAAACAAGAAACTAATATGACACATTATAAATTCAAAAATAATACGATTGATGTAAATAATAAATTAACTAAACAAGTGTTAGACACCAGGAATTTGTCTTCACTAATATTGCAAGAAGGCAATATAAGTTTTTTTTTTCTTGATCTAATAGTGAATGCATTGTTTTAGAATCAAACAATTTCTCATTTGGTTGTGTTAGGATTTGAATCAAGTTGAATTTTAATTTACACATCGATAATACGGGGTGGATTTGGTTAACATTAAAATATGTACTAGTATTATGATTATTAATTAATTCACAATTTACACGGCATGATATATTTTAGTACAAGTTCAAAATAACACTATTCTAACATGACACGACATCATGTCGGGGCTTTTGTTTATTAATGACCCCTATCTAATCCCTCATAAGTTTGAGCCCAATTTGCTTCATTCAAGGCTCTAAACATTATAGAGTCCATGGTGAACCCTACCTAGTAAAATCAACAGTTTTGTCACAATGCCAAGGTGTCTATGTAACAGTAATGCTACACATAACAAAAAAAAGATAAAAAACATAGATCAGGTTCGAATCCTCCTCCCCTATAATCAAAGAAAAGAAAACGCAGACTTAGCTCAATTATGTGCCTTGGTTGAGTTTGTTGTATGGAGTTCAATTATGTCAACCAAATTTTTTAGTATAGAAGATGACATGCAGTTAATAAGGTGATAAGCAGTAAGAACAACATAACTTCAAAATATCGAGAAACATTTATCCGGAATAACAATGTACGGATAACTTCCAATAGATTACATTGTTACACTTGACGACACTATTCTGTTGAGGTAAATAGGAGCAAGAAGTTT